GGAAGCGAGGAATCCTAATTTTGCATAGTTTAGGAAATAATCATGGGTTAAGTAGTGTACTTTGTACGGTTCTGGATTTTGTCTTGCCTGTAAGCAAACGTCAATATAGTCGGCGGGAACATTTATTTTTCTTTTTCTTAAGACCCGTTCTATTGAAGAATGAATACTATCGGCCTCCATTTGGGTGTGGCCACGTTCCAAGTATTTTTGTACAATAGTTATTTTTTTTCTGTTGCAATGTAAAGCAAAGCATTTGAAAGAACGGAATTTCTATTCTGTCCAGCGCAACCATCACTGTAAAGAATAATTTCCTCCCCCTCAATTAAATTTGTCGACTCTTTTCGTATAAAGTTGCAAATTATTGTAGTGAATTCATTTGCCCCCACAGAACCCTCTGTTTCATTCCATATGAAGCAGAATGCTTCTTTGGTTTTTATGTTATAAATTGTGAAATTATGCACAATTAGTTTTTTCTTGTAATAAAGGCTCGACACATTTGAGTGTGGGGCCAGTAAAACTGATTGTAGATCCATAGTGTACACTTTATTCCTTTCGTCAGTTTTATCTTTGGCTTTCTCTTCTCGGGCTTCTTTCTTCTTTTCCTGGTGTACCCTATAGATAGCCTCTTCTAGATTTCCCATTTGGTTTGAAACACAGATGTTGCACTCGTCTTTCTTAGGGGTAAATAAAGCTAGGTTCATATCATCAAAAGTGTACGAAAACAATGTTTTTGACACCGGCTCTGTCCCATTTTCTTTGCACCAATTAGTGCTGTATTCACCGTACAGGTGCATTTTGGAACGCCAAATTGGTTCAAGATATAATTTTTGGGTAGTTGCGCGACAGTAGTGGGACTCCAACTTCGGTAAAGCCGCAAAGAAATTCTTGAGGCACAATTTCCTTTCCTCAAATACATTCTTTCTTAATTTTTCTTCTTTTCCTTGTTCCACTAACATTTCAGCTTGAGTTTCCTCGCTATTATTCATCAGATGTTCATGGTGCACTTCCTTCGTCTTCCAATCCCTCACTGTCCATTCACCGACACTTAAAGTATTTAAGAACATTTTTTTACACACTTTATATTTTACGTCGTCTTTTTTCAAGTAATAATTGAAACTATTTTTCCTTCTTGATTCGTGGTCATTTTTTCTATGCCTCTGCCGTTTAGTGTCGTCAACACTCATAAGCATCGCAACAAAAACTTTCTTTGCACTTTTTTCAAGTTTCCAGAAGCGGTTAAATATTTTCAGTCTGTCGTCTTCCGAAAAAATTGTACAAAAAAACGATGACTTAGATTTCATACCTTTGGTAGAAATTTGGCAATTACAACGCTCTTGTAGATTTTTTTTTGGTTTGGATATCTTGTAATTCCATTTATTTTCAATTTTTTTCTTTCCATAGTATTCTAAGCCCTTTTGTCGTTTTATTTTATTATCATTATCAAACCATTCATTTTGATTCACGTGCCTAGTTTTCTTTCTTTTCCGTTTTTCCTCATTTGGCTGTTTTTCCCTACTGACAGATGGGGTGTCTTCCTTTTCATCAATAGCATCTGTAGGCGTGGATTTAGATGAACTTTCTGATAACTCGTCTGATGACTCTCCTGTCAAGTAATCAGGATCTGTGGTTTCCGCGACGGAAGGTCCAGGGTGTGAATGTTGTTCAATTTCTACTCCTTCATTTAAGGAGGAGATTTCCAACGGCTCATTGATAGCTTCTAAGAAGTTACTATCAATTGAAATATTCTGCACATTTTCTGGCAAAAGATTTGTGATTTCAGACAATTCAGGTTCAATTGAAATATTATTCTGCACATTTTCTGGCAAAAGATTTGTGATTTCAGACAATTCAGGTTCAGTTACTTCAGTATCATGCGTAAGGTCCAAATCAAAAACGTTATTAAGAGTAGTATAGACTGGTTGGTTGGTGGCGATTTCAGTTACGTTACTTGGAGCTAGGAAAATAATGTCCTCTTGTAAGGCCAATTGCAGAATCTTTTTGCTGCGCGACATCTGCAAAAATTTCCATTTGTACACTCACATAATTCTTTAGTATAAACTGTATAAACGCCTTTAAAACAGGAAGTATGTATGATGAAAACATTGTTTACATTTAGGTACATAATATTCTCACAATACTCGAAAAATGTTACTGGTCCTATTGGTTCTTATTTTGACTGCTGATCATCCTAAAGATACTATTCACTCGTTCCATACATTTTTAAATTGAAATTAAACGACACCAACGTCTCGTGAGTCATCAAAAGTATTCCATATAACTGGCATTCTGAACACATTAACATTTTCCACATAACCATTGCACAAATCCTACATTTATAGTAAAATAATTCAGTATAGATTGCTTACCTCTTAATATTTACTTTAAGCAACGCACATCACTTATTTACTGAAAATGCAGCTGATTACCGTTGACATTCAAAATATGGAGTTACGCGGTTTTCGTGTTGGTGTATGACAAGTATGGAGTTACGAGGTATTCTATTTATTGAATTACAGGAAACATTTTTAAAATAGAAATTTGACGGTTGTACCACATGTTGAATTAATTATTTAGCAACAGATGACGCTTAAATCTCAATTTTGCCCTAAAATGGACTTACGAGGTTTTCGTATGAGGGCGACGAATATCGAAATTATTTTCTTCAATTATCGATCTCATAAGTAATCTAACTCAAAATAGACTAGTGCCTGCACATCTACACTATAGCAGAAAGCTTTTAGTGAAAATTTGAAGTCTCTAGCTATTGTAGTTGTGGAGATCTAACGCGGACAGCCGGCCTGCCAGCAATGACGAATATAATAGCGTATTTTTTTCAAAAATGCGCTAAAAATTCCATCCTTTTGTCTGTTGTGATTCCTGAAGAAACGACTGACCAAACAATCCATTTTGAACCTTAGGTTTTTAGGAAAAAAATTCTTGTTTTGGTCACTTCTACTACCCAGTCTTAACTGTTACACCCTGTATACCTTCAAATTGTAAAAACAAATGGAAAGTAAGCGTTTAAATTGAACAGAGTCCTCTAACCGACACAAATGAAATTTTCCAAGGTGAACTTTGTGAACGGAATATAAGAACTGGCGGTTACTAGGTACAGTGATGTGGACGTGAGCGTCGCAGTCTCCACCCCCACCGGCCTTATAACACCGATTATCTTCCGTGCCAATAGCAAAGGCATTAACACCATCAGTAAAGAAGTTAAGGAATTGGCGGGAAAAGCGCGCGAAGGCAAACTGCAGCCGGCCGAATTTCAAGGCGGCACAATCTCCGTATCCAATTTGGGAATGTACGGCGTGACCCACTTTACCGCCATCATTAATCCACCGCAGAGCGCGATTTTGGCAATCGGCGGTAATCAAACGCGTCTCATTCCGGATGACAATTCCGAAAAAGGGTAATCTATCGACAGAGTTTTATTTTTAAATAATCGCCCTTAATTTCAGCTTCAGGAAGGCGCACTTTATAAGTGTGACGTTAAGTAGTGATCACAGGGTGGTCGATGGCGCGAAAGCTGCCGAGTGGTTGGGCGTGTTCCGAGAGTACCTCGAAGATCCGGAGATGATGATCTTTTAGTTCAATCTACATTTAATTGTCGGTTCATTTTAAAAAAATTAAACTAAGGCTAAAGTTGGATAGATACGAAACCGTCTGCTTCATATACATATTTATTTACATTTTGTTTGCATTTTGCACTGTCTAGCCCTTTTAGAACAATTTTGTATATACTCTCGAATGGGATAATTATGCTGTTCAGCAGCTAAACTGAGTTGTAGACATCTGTAACTTATTTGTAAATAAAAGTAATTGTTTGATGTTTATCTTTTCCGTCAGTGAAATGTGAAATAGTAGTGTTTGTTAGCACGTTACCAGAGTTGTAACAGGTGGTTACTTTGCTATTTCAAAAATTTTATTTAGACTTTGTATTTTGGTAAATATAGGAAAATTTATACATATACCGCTTCATAGCGAACATGAACAAAAGTATCTCTGTAAATAAAAAGCGATAACAACGCGTACATTTTCGATATAAAAATAATAATGATAATTTAATTTAGACTTTCTAACTGTAGGTATAGGGCAAGTCCACATTAAATAGAAATACCCGTATATTGCATTTTCGGATTTTCCAGTAAATTCTAGACATGTTTCATTTAACTGTCCAATACCTAGCTATTAGTGGAATCCAAATAAAAATTTAATTAAAAGAAAAACAAATTTATAAATGATTAACATTCAATCACACCAGTGAGCGAAAGTGGCACCAACCTGGATGTGAAGTCAGTGGAACGGACGGACTCCAGCGCCATCAGTAGGAAAAAAGCCTTGCTTCTGGCAGAGCTCTGAGGTTTGGCACAATAGACAGACGGTTAAAGAAACGGCTTAGTCCAGAATTCGTCAGGTGGATACGTCCAGAGGTGACGCAACAAAGAATAAATTAATTAGCGGTAGCTACTGGAAATCTTTATAATTAGCGGAAGAAAGATAGCAAACGCTTTTACCTCTAAAAATAATGGTACGATATCGCAAAATGTACGAGAGTACAGCGAAAATTGCCAAAAAGTGATTACGTTCCAAAACATCAAAGCAAAAAGATCTTCTCTAAACTTTACTTTTATAAAATTCGTCCATACAATGGAGGGATCCAGCCGCACCGCGTATTCGTGTAATTGATCTTAAAATTTAACTCAATTAACCGCGCTTCTAATGAAACCACTCAGGACTGGTTCAAATGCGATTTACTGCAACTCATTTAATTAGCTACCGTTAATTACATTTTGTCAAGATAATAAGTTGATAATTGTGTAACACTGAATGGCCTTGCAGTCTTAATGTTCGTTTTGAATTAACATGGGAAATTAAAATCGTAGAGTAAAGACATTGTGGCAAAATTCGTACTACCCACTGATCCATGCTACTGGAGTTCTCCGAGTTATTCCTGCCATTAAAAAGTTAAACCAATATTTATTATATAAAATTTATATTTCACAGGACATTCTAAAATTAACAAATATAACAATAATATACACAATTATTGTATATCCACAAAATTGGATTGTAATAAATAATTAAAAATAGTAGGTAATAAATACTGTTGTGTCCGGTTAATAATGACTGTTGACTACTTTCGCCGTTTCACCTTCGATCTACCCTTTTTCTTTTTATGATTGCTTTCCTGTTTCTTTATACTTTTCGAATTTTTCGGTACCGGCAGCGCCCCGCCCGGCCTCTTCGGCGTTAGGAGGTGCTGTTCGACCAAGTCGGCCAATTTACCTTGTTCCGCCAGCATCGACAGAAACGTGCATACGAATTCGTCGTAATTGTGCGTACGTCTACAGTCGTCCACCCTGTACTTATTTTGCTTGTCGTTCTCGTCCTTTAGGCTAATTTCGCAGATACAAATTTCGTTCTCGAGATTTCGCAGTAAAGCTAGTAGGTCTTGGGGCGCGAACGTGTGCGGTTCCAGGAATTCTGGGTTCTTTTTTTCGGCGACGACAGTGTCTCCGTCGCTCGTACGCACGCGTGCGTGTCCGGTGTTCGACAGGCATTTCTTGTTACAGGTCGGCGCGGCCTCGTTAGTTTGACGTTTGCCGTTAATGTTCACTACTGAAATGCATTCTATTAGACCCATTAAATGACGTTCCAAGGTTCTTTAACTCCAAGTACGCTAGCGGAAAGAGGTGGGTCAAACAAGGTAGGTTTTTCGGGATAGTGAAGTATGTACCTAAGTTATTGAGATTCCTTTTGTAGGGTCCAGTAATGACGATTATGCTTGTCCGCCAGGAAAACACGCAAAGATAAATAATAATAAAAAATTTCTTTGTTGACTATAACTGTTAAAATTTGCTTTCATAAGTTATAATAAATACTTAAATAAAGAAATAAAAAAGACTGCGCAGGCGCGATCCTTTTCTTGACGTGTGTTTTCAATGTGCTTTTATACTAAGCATCTTCAGCTAAAATTTCAAAAAGGTGGTCCACAAATAAAAAAAATTAGATCTGCACATGCGCAATCAATATTTTGACTTGCGCGTCCATTTTCCAATTATTTGGAGTACGTACTTTCTGGTAAAATTTCGGAAAAATCCAGCTACACTTTAGAAAATCTGCACTGCGGAATCCATTTTGTACACGTTATTTCAATTTGACTTTATAAGAAGCATCTTAGGCTAGAAACGCACCGCACGCAACATTTTGTTTTGCAACGTTGCCAGACATTTTGTTGCGCAGTCGCAGTTTCCAATCCATTTTGTACACGATATTTCAATATTTAACCGTTATTATTATTATTTTGTTCTGTATAATAAAAATATAGACGACGTCATACTTCTATCCCCACTCCACCAAATGGTAGAAGGCGATAGACCTCATGCAGTCCGATTTGTCGCTGCATATGTTTCTTTCTTCATCCCATGCAAGCTGCAGAAATTGCGTCTAGCGATACGAGAAAGGGAGGGAGCCCTCTAATGTGATGTTTCTGTATATGAGTGGTTCAACTGTTCCCGTGGAGTACGTACCTAATACAGTCCGATTCTTCGGTGTATCTGTTGCCTGCTCGTCTCGTGCGGATCTTAGTTTCCTAATTACCATTTCCTCTATTTAAAATATGTTTTACTTGGGCAATAATCTACTTCAATCTGAATACTTGCAATTGGCATTCTCACATGTACGCTTCTTTTTGTACTAAATTGATTTATCATGTTTTCCACTTGCATTTATGAGGTCTCATTTACGTGTTTTTATGAATTGTTTAACTTAATAAACTGCATTTAATCCGATTACCTCATTTTTATCGTACAAGAGATGTTTTATTTGTGAATTTTTCTCATTTGCATTTTGTTGTTATTGATTTACATCATGTATTTTTGTGGGCGGTGCCGAGGATTTTGTCCCGTAGAAGGTTTCCCTGGCATTGCCTTGTTGTATGCGTAATATATTTATTTGTTCTTATCTTTTATTGAGCACAAAATTCTGCATTTTATTCAATTCCCCTCCCGATTATGTCTCATGTCCCAACACAGACAAGAACCGATTACACAACGTAGAAGTTCATTCATACCCTTCATATTGAGCGGCCTGCTAACGAGTTTCAAAAGTACCAGGAAACGTCTATAGTTTCAACTTGAAAGTTAGGTCGCTCTGCTGGTAGTTTTCCCCTTTTTCCCATGCAACACTTTACGTAAAGGAATCTTTGATGGGAAGAGGATCTAAGGATGCTACTTTTACTACACTTACTTGGTTTGGAAAGATCCTTATCTTCATTTGCGACTCGAATGACGACAAACCTTTTAAAGTCCTTCGAAAGGGGACTGTTTTGAGAAGCAGCCCAATTCCACGCTTGGGTTGGCGAATTAAATGCGGATCCCACTTCTGACGATGTATCCGTACTCGAGGTACTTGGTGCGGGAGATGTCTGAATGGTGAGGGGCGTTGAGTAGTCCAAAGGGCAGAGCATCACCTTATCTTTCTTTGGTTCCGCATTCATTTTTTCAATCGTCGACGTTACAGACGGTTCAACAACGTTAGGAATCTGAGCCGACTCATCTTCATTACCCGCTTCTTTTTTAGGTTTAGCCTCGGGCTCCTCCTTTTCGCATTTGTCGACATGCTTAATCTTCATCAGCTGCTGTAACGCGTCTAGAACGATCTGCTTGTTGGTTTTTAACATTTTCAGCTTGTGTGTGATGGCCAATCGACGATCGGGTACGACAGCCATTAAATTAAATCTAATGTCGTGGTATTGCTCGCCCGCTGAAATTCCCAGACGTTCGCTCATGACACTTCTGAATTTCTCCGTCCAATCGCCTACATCGTTCCAGGGGCCGTGATCAATGGGAAACGGCTTCAAGCCGTCCAATTCGAAGAGTCTGCCGTTTATAGGTACAAAGCTAACAAAATGGAAGGCTTCCCCGGTAAATCGACCAGTTGTAACACCACTACCTAAAATGATAGTTTTAAAAACAGTCCATATAAAACAACACAGTTTTACTTTTGTCCAATCTCCTTTTTGCCTGAGGTATCGCATGCGAATTGTGTGCACAAGCTAGTTCTGGAGTATTTCCAATAGCCCACCCTTTATTTTCCGGAGACATGCCGTGCGTGTGAGTCTTTAGTCTACTTAAAGTTTCTCCCAGATGTATATTGGGGCAATTTAGTAAAATAGAAATAAGAGCGTGTGTGGCACAACTATTGGGTACCATTTGCTGGGCAAAAAATATGTTATTCACGATATCTTCTTCTTTTACAAATATTTCGGTTTGTTCTACGATTTTACGTCTTGATCTGCGTTCTTCAATCCAACGAAATAGGAATATGAAGCCATAAACGGGACTGTCTAAGGGTTTATGTAAATCATAAATTTCTTCGACTTGTACACCTTTTACACCAAAGTCTTCTAAAAGTAAGGTAAATAAACCTGGGTCGCTTTCTAACTCAAGCCAGCCTTCAGTCAATTCTTTTATATCAACGGGCATTTTTACGTAAACTATATAAAAATAAAGTATATAATTTAAAAAGCTGTGTATAATTTTTCAGTTACAATAAAATTTGAGGTTATGTTTGTAGTAGTTCAGAATATTGTTTGGTACTTGATTTAGAAGTTTACTTTAGAACTATTACAGTCCCAATAGAACTACAGCTCATAATGCTCTCGCCAAACATTTCCAAATTGAAAATGGTGTATTTTTGGAGGGAAATCCACCAATATGTTTCGCTTTAGACTAAAATAGGCCTCCATAATAAGCACTTTTTTTATCCTTGACAAATAACCAACTATTATAGAACAGAACAATTTGCATTATGTGCATAGTTAGTAGCTTGAGTACTTAAATGATGGGACCGCATAGTCTTTTATTTCAATGATGCAGACATTGAATTTATGACTAAATATCAAATTCAATGATGCAGAGTAACTTGTATGATGAATGACAACTTGCGAATAACGTATGTTTGTATAAGAAATGGTCTTGTAGATCATTTGATTGGATATCTGAAATGTCATCAGATGTTGAAGAGGTTATGTCGAAAATGTTTACCTAAAAACCTAAATAAAATAATGGAAAAAGTACAAATAAAGATACTTTTGGTTGAATGTATGACATTTTGCTCTGTTTTTAGACCTAGAACTTATAAAAACCCGTCAAATGCGTTCATCAGTTAGTTACATCCTTTCGAGTACAACATCAGAACCAAACATGTCGCATCCCGATTATGATCAATACTCACACGATCATGCCTCTCTGTTAATACTAGTGAAGCAAATAGGTCCATACTTAAAGATGAAAACGTTTAATAAATTTTACGATCGTATAACTCGGCTAGGTAACGTTAAGATAACCGATTCGACCGGTCAAGTTCGTAACATCTTGGTACGTTACGTCAAGGAGCATCCTGTTGAAAATAACGACTGGGGCGATTTTCAAACGCACCGTCGCTTGCTGGGATTGGTGTCGCTGGGCAAGTACGACTCGCAACAGGAGCTAAACGAAATTTGTCGTGTTCACGAAAGCTTGAAAGTGAAGTACACCAGCACGTTGTACGATTCGAGATGCATACTGTTTGGAATTACGGATGAAAGAGAATATCCGCCGAGTGATAACAGTAGCCCTGAAGAGGAAAGTGTGAAGAGTGTGCAGGAAGATAACACGAGTTCACCTGAGGAGGGTGCTACAGTTCGAGAAAAGTTTACAACCCCCACGAATTTTAAGACGAGAGCGCTATTTTATAATGAATCAGATCCGTGTACCGATTTAGAGAATCAGTTGACCGAATTTATTAACTCTCTGTTTTGGGTGTTGGAGTCGAAACGATTGGAACGGTCGAGGGAGAAGTTGGAGCGGGTGTCGTTGTTGTTAGCCCCCTTCGAGAAGAAAGATTTTGTTGGTTTAGATATGGATTCGCGTAATAATAAAAAACGTTGCACAGGTCGCATGACTAAACATTTGGGCGATCTGTGTCTACAGGCTGGTCTGCTAGCCGAAAGCATTGCGTATTACCATAGTGCTGCTGAGACTTTAAAGTCGGTCAACGATTGGTTATGGTTGGGGGCCGCCTTTGAGGGGCTTTGTGCCGCATCTGCTTTAGTATTATACCCCAATATACAGCGCACTGTTTCGCTGCATCGAAATGCAAGTCTACAAGAAGGCTCGCCTAAGCGTTCCAACTCGATTACCACAACGGTCGGAATTGTCAGACGTGACATTGTCAACATGCTTCCCCCGGACGAAATTTCTAAAAAGTACCGGGAAGCAATCATCCATTACAGCAAATACCAAAATGCGGGCATCGTCGAGACCGAGGCCAGTTTCAAGGCGGCGCGAATATCGGTCGAACAGAGCCACTCGTTGCAGGCGGCCAGCTTTCTGCAGAACGTCGTTTTCATTAACCTAACACTGTCCGAGCAGGAGAAGATACAGAGATTTGAAAAGTTGTCGGATTTATACTTGCAAATCGGGTTTACGAGGAAGGCGGCGTTTTGTCAAAGATTGGCCGCCACCAGGCACGTTTCCCCGCAAAATCCGACGCCGAACTGGAACAAATGTTACACTTTGATATTGCAAAGTTTTCCCGGTCACAAAATCACATTGGATCCTACGGAAATGTGTCACGATAATCAACAAAGTGGTAAGTGTTGTTGATGTAAAGGAAACCTGATGGCAGCATAATAAAAGGTGGATCTTGTTGGATGCATGCGCAAAAGTAACTCATATTTATGCACCAATCTTGCTCAAATTTTAAATCGGTCAATTATATTAAACACGTCAAAACTGCTTTAGCGCATGTTGCCAAAAATTACAAATGGTTGAAAGGACGGTCGACACCAAATCGCTAATTCTTTTAACACAGTATTATCTCACAAAATCTAAAAACACCCTGCGGTAATTCATAGGGTGTTTAATTTAACCGCTCGCGGCTTGACGCATATTGGCCCACGACTTAATTTCAATTCTCCACAAATTATAAAACCACCCCGCGCAATCTTTCAGGTGGTTGACTTAAACTTTTTTAATAGCTAGACGTGAACACTCTCGTGGCTTAACACGCATTGCCTCACGACACTCTGCCAACAACCTATTTCCCACTACTTTTATTTTCAAATCACATCCATTCTGGAACGTACAACCTTCTCCACTAATGAAAATCATGTTTTTCAAGGAAATTTCTTGACAACTTTTTCCGCACGGATTCAGAAAAAACCGCTATGCAGCAAGTTGGATAACCACGGATGAAATATAAGCAAAATCCCCCTGTAATTTGAACTAACTACGCCATATTTCACGACTTACATACCGGTGCCTCAAGCTTTCGCACGCAAAACAGAGGTGTATTCAGGACTCACTCGCCCACATAAAAAATCGGAAAATTGTAGGAAATCTCTCCACGTACACTTCCGGCATCTGCCACAAAGAAAAATTCCAGTATTGACTTATTAAATTCGTCATTTTAAGCTTAGATCAGCTTCTGAAAATTCCAAAGGAGTAACTACACACATTTTCATTAACACAAATCTTGGACACGAGAAGAAAAATCTGCCATGATATTCTATTCGGGTCACACAATGGATTCGATAAACACAATTAATTAATTGACAATGACAAAATTTTATTCCGAAAAACATGAAAATAACATTAAACAAAATTCCTGAATTGAAGAGATGCTTACAAAGCTTGTTTTTACATACGTACCCCGTATGCAGACGGTCGATAGTGAAGAAAATTAAAAAATTTTAAATTAGTTTTTTTTCTTTGTTTATAGTGCTAATAATCTCTGGTCATTCAACAGCGATAAACAAGGCGCACATAACTCCACACACAAACTCTGACCGGTTCTGAACTTCACTTTTTCGTAGCACACAAATTTTGATGACAAGCAACATATGAATGAAATGACGAATTGCCGGCTTTTCAGACGGTATAAACTTTTAACTTAGTAAGAGAAAATTGACAGAAGGCCTCACGATGCAATAAACTGAATTCTCTTTCAACGGACACCGCGCGTTGAACTTCTTACAGCTTTGTAACAGCTTTTTTTATGTACAGAGATATGATAAAAATGACGAATTGCGTCTTCAATCAATCAAATCGGGCGGATAGTCCTGAATAAATAGCGGAATGAAACGTACGCTTTCCGACCGTCGCGAACCAGCTCTCTGGCAGTCTTCTACTATTTAACGAAACACCACTTTCATAATAAAATAAATCTCTTTATTCCGATTTCCACAAATAAATCGTATATCATAATTTATTAAATAACATCAGCTGCGAAGGAACGCGTCCCACTTACGCCAAGAATAAAGCGCGCATCGTTGACCACTTACATAACCCGCTATCTCTTCTCACAGCGACTAAGAACGCGTGCAATAATTAACTCCCCTCCGATAACAATCGACCGGATGTGCCTACATTTTAACACACAATTTCACGTTATACAATTAAATAAACAAATCTAAATAGACTATACGCAATTACAAACAATTCTAAAAGGAAAAATAACACTACAGAAACACAAACTTAAATGAAATACACCAATTCTGGGGTCCGTTAACTTGGCCCCCCCACTGAGAGATTTGATTGTCGTATTATTTTAAAATGAATGCGCTCGTTATGCGCTCATATGCGCCACCGATAATAACTCTTGCGCCATTATCGTTTTTTAGAAATCCGAAAAAACATTTGGGGGGGCCAAGTGAACGTAGCCCCCCCAGTACGTATTTTGTCGCTTGTAACTAGGTCACCTGATACATTTGGTTATGCGCTCAATTGCGCCACTTGAATTAAAGCTAGCGCCATTACGGTTAAGCCATAAAAAATTTTTAAAAAGTGGAGGGTCTAACTTAGCGTTTTCAAAAGTTACGTTTTTTAACATGTTTTTTCTACTACATCGTACCTTTCATCATGCGCTAAAATGAGCCGTAAACATAAATCTTTGCGCATTATAGTTTTTGAGAACCTTTTTTAGTACCTATAGAACTATAACGCTATTCATTTTAAGAAGGTAGCGGTAGAAAGCATAGGGACAGTTTAACCTTCACTGTGATTGGTTAAATCACGAGTCACTATTACCCTGAAAAATAAAACGAGTGACGAATTCTGTCTGTTAGAAGTTTCAATTACGAACTAAACTGTCGAACTGTCATTAGCTGTCAATTTCAAAGATCCAAGCGTGATATCGTTTGATTCATAATTATATTTTCCAAATATTGTGCCGTTTTATATTTTTCCTGTGTGTGTCGATCTTCAAACACAAACACTACTACCTTCTTTGAAAATTGGTACACATGTTCTTAAGGATATAAGAAAGATTGCTATTGTTTTTTAGTTACGTAGACTAACGGGCCAAACAGTTACAGCCCAAAAACTGCTCGAACCCTCAAAGAATGGTATCTTTTATAATAAATTCTTGTTACAAAGAACATATAAATGCCCGGTTTTCTGTGTCAGTAAATATTCATTAAACCTCAAACAATTTTGAAGATGAAAAAATAATATTGCGCATGCACAATCTAATTTTTGTATTTGTTAAGATATTTAAATGAAATTGTATGTACGCACCTCGAACAAAAGTAAAAGTAATGCTAATGGGAATGCGGAGAAGTCAAAGAGGCTAGTGGCGCATATGAGCGCATAACGAGCGCATTCATTTTAAAATAATACGACTATCAAATCTCTCAGTGGGGGGGCCAAGTTAACGGACCCCCAATTCTGTGGTTACTCGTAAATAAACCCCTCAGATTTATGTTACTAAATTGAAACACTTCTCATAAACAGGATGTCCCGTCATTAGTTTCATCAGCTTGTCAAACGGTTAATTAAAACAGGATCTCATAATGTCCATCTACTCAACTACTTTAGTCCTACCAAGCTAAAACTTCTGATCTAGGTTGGCCGGCTCTACAAATCCAACTCCTTCAAGAACTTGTGGTTGCCGCAAAACGTATGGGCCATTCCGCTCTAGCAACCAGACACATGACATTCCTCTTACAAACCATGTGGGAACACCTATCGGCTTCGGAACAGAAAGAATTAGCAATCCAATTACAGGTTCACTTCCAATCGATATAGCGATTTAATAATAACATTCACATTACAGTCGCTATCGTCACAGTGCGAGGGCGCACCGGTACCGTTAGTATTAGACAGCGGAATAGTAATTCCGCCGGCGAATTTAAGCAACGTGCCCGTCTGCTTAGGTTTCGGTCTACGAAATTTACAGCCGCACCTGCAGCCTCGCAAAATTGAAACGTTCAAGCAGGATATTGGACCGTTTCTATTTACGCCTATTAAATTCGGCACGCTCGAGCGTACGAGTAATAAGCCACAAAGTAAAATGGGTAAGTAAGTGAATACAAACACACATGGACTCGCTCTATTGAGTGTTTAAAATAGTAGATTTTCTAGGAGACAGGTTTTTTTATTATGACATATGAGCTTGGATTTAAGTAAACATTAGGACACCCGAACCCACAATTCATGTACTAAATGGTGGGCCCCACTCAGCTGCGAAAATTTTCATATGTACTGCTTCACGTGAATAAATCTCTAGTAGCTTTAATAGCGACAGCCAGACGGCTTTGGGTAGCGCAGGCTGCGATAAAAACAGACGTGAGTCGTCAAATTTGCGTTGGTTCCGTTTCGGGTTTTTACGTTTTAGCAACGATTAGAGATAAGAATTGTTTCGGTTGTTGGAAGAGCGTGGCGGAAGCGGCCGAAGGGTTGCGGGCGCTAACAAAAGTCAAGAAAGTTAAGGGTCGGCAATATAAATAAAGCAAAATCATTCCGAGCGGAACGTTAAATTATCGCGGCGAGCGGAACGAAGAAATCGGTTTTTTGTGCTAATAATAGATACTAGTGCAAATGAATAGTATTTAGTGGGGTTTGCACGTTCATTATTAGAGGTTCATCTTTTTCGTATCTGGAAATACAAAGTTTAATGACGGTAAAGTGTAAAGTATAGTGATTTTTGCACGGTCCATCGAATTTGAGGCTATCATTTAATGTAGGGACCGCGAAAATAAACGCACTAAGATGTGCGTGTTGGCCTAATTTCAAGAGTACGATTCTGGGTGGGCTTTGTGGCATACCAATACATGATGTGTTTCAAACAAATAATACTAATGTATTATGTAAAATTACTTGCGAAACCTGGTTCATATAATTACATAAAAACCTTATGGTACCGTTGTTGCTTCAGACTTCTTATGGGTGGAAAACGATGTGTGCGAAGTTACTTTGAAACTAGTAAATCCACTACCGTTTGAACTAAAGGTATCGAACATGAGATTGCTAACGTCTGGTGTGGTGTTCGAGTCGATTCCGGAAACGGTGATTCTACCGTCGGACACGCCAACGTCCCTGACTCTAAACGGAACTCCCAAAGAAAGTGGCGAATTGGAGATTTTAGGTTACAGTACGCACACGTTGGGCGTCAAATCAAATTGTCGTCTGCGATATATGCCCAATTTTCTTCCGTCGTACAGTATTGATGTGATTCCGATACTTCCAACGATGGAAATCAAAACTTCGTTGCCTCAAAGCGCGACGTTCTCCTCGTTGCAAAATTTTGAAAACGTGGTGACGTCGGCGAGCATTAGTTTGTACAATGGCGAGAGTACCGAATGCACCATCACACTAACGAACAATAGTCACGTGCCGATCGAGATGATTGAAGTGTCGATACAGAGCGTCCTCGAGGCGTCACTGCAGGATCAGATCTTCAAATGGTCGCAAGAAAATTTGGAAAGCCAGCTACCGCTGATGCCGAACGGTACGGCCAGCTTAACGTTGTACCTGTATTCCGCTGCAAACTTCCTCACGGCGGGGTTTGGGCAAAATGAGTTAAGCAGTGGAGTTTTCGGTAGCTCGCATGGTAGTGGCAGTATTATGTCTATGTCTGTGGGTCCAAGCTCACTTCCGTCTCGACTCAACTCGCCCAGTACTATGGGAAGCAGCTTCCACGGTACAAGGCGGAACGAGCTAAATGCGAGTTTCAGGTGAGTTACGGGAGTAGGGCGCAGTTAGTGTAAAACAGTTGAAGGTCGTCCAACTCGGGCCAGTCCAGTATGACGACCACCGGGTACAGATCACCTGGTGCACTGACACTTCCACAGCATGCTGCGTCGGCCGTCGTCGAAGGGCAGCTGCAATTGCGATACAGCGGAGGTGCAGGTTTCCAGGCCGGCTACTGCAGAAGCTGCTCCATTTTCATCACCTTAGAAATGTTACCCTCCATACAGGTGACAAATTGGGACGTTTTACCCGCCGAAACGTAAGCAGAGATGGCGACTCACCGCTCTCTGTCACATCTGTTGTAGATCCTCCCAGTTTTATTTAGTTTTAGACATCGCCAATATGACATCGCAAGAAATGGAATTGCATTACACCCCCACGAAGCACATGCTGATCGAGAGTCACGAAAGTTGTCGCATTCCGGTACCCGTGAACCGCTGTCCGTTATCGAAACTAACGAAGCTTTACATGGATCAGAACAGCGCGACCAACAATCACCTAGACCTGGACAGAATATGTTCGGATCACATCGCTAACTTGGTAGATTTACGTTGGCACCTGCTCTCGCTCAACACGAAGGGCAAGGCGAGCCTAAAGGGCATTACGTTGACACCGAACATGCTGGACATCGTGCGCATGTCTCCGTTAAATTGGGGTAGGTACTTAGAAAAACGGTCGATTGTCACGATAGTTTTTCAGAGGTAAGCGTAAACGGAGATTCTCTCAAGCCGCAAGAGGAAATTAATTGCGACGCCGGCGATTGTCTGAGCGTGCGCATCGGCGTCAGTAACAGCTTAGAGAAACCGTTACAGCAATTAATGCTTTCTGTACAGTTTTATCAAGACCATCGAAATGGTACACATAATTATAAGCTCGAGACTCGTGTTGTTATTGTGGGATGCGCAAAGTAAGTGCTCTTTAATTAAGGGCGATTATTTTGGTGAAATTTTGGTATAACGTCGGTTCCAGGCACTCTCTTCAGCATCTAACTATGTAAATTGTTGCATAATTACCTATTTAGCGTGTTCTTTTACTGTTATTTCCCACCACTCTGGTCCCTACTCTTTTTAATTTCTGTCACGCCTACAAAATGGCGCTAATATGTCAAAGCGGCCATCTTTAATCGTTAACTAATCTATTCGTTTACTTAACCCAATCAAGTGTGTTAAGGTCATTAATCAAAACCCACCAGATCTCAAGTGCGCTTCACGATGCTCCATGACTTCACTATCACTATTGGGAACTGGAACGCCCAGGGGTGGTGCAATGTTACCAATAATAGAAGTCGCTTAACCCTGACTCGTAACGGAAGGCGGCCGTCTCTGGTTACAATCTCCTACGGAATGCACGGTTTTGTGCAGTTCAATAACTGAATTGATTTTTTTCTTTCGAAGCATAATTGCACATGAAACTAATTCCGTCGTTTGCAGTATAACCACGCCCATTGTCATTAATTCTCTTAAATGTATAACATTTTTCAAGCTTAGGCGATACCTTCTGCAGGGGCACTTCTAAAAATGGCGAAAGCCTGTTGAAGGCCAATAAATAAGTAAATAGATACCAACATTTTATCAAAATAAGTCCCAGCTTTACTCATACCTACGTGTTCCCGTTACAGTTAGTTATATAATCAAAGAACACAATTGTTTTTAGAAAAGTTCTGCCAATACTGGAGCCGCAATGCAAGGTATGGCACGCTTGCAGTGTACTATTTTTAACACCAGGCCAATACAAAATGGATATACAGTGTTGTACACCCGACCAATCCATGACGCACTCTCCTGTCGTGTCCTCCTCTGGTCATTCATGGAGATACATTCCCGTCGTCGATGTAAATGTGCACATATAATTTTCATAAATATAGCTACAATTTTTTTTACAAATATTGTTTAATATCCGCACGATTACATATTATAATTTAAAATGGGTCTTTAAATGGGTACTCGGGATGCTTACTATCGCTGCAAAACATCTTTTAGCGTTTACAGAAGGAAAATAAATACTCACTTTTTTCTAATTGACTGTATGTACCGGAGATTTTTGTTTAGCGTTCCCATCGCGGCCATCTCGTCCTCGTCCATTTCGAAATCGAACAGGTTCAGGTTTTCGTGTAGCTGATCCCCGTGCGTCGTCCGGGGAATGACGACGTTTCTCCGTTGGAGCTGATACTTTAAGACCACTTGTGCGGCAGTCTTACGGTATCTTCGACCTATCTTATACAGTAGGGGCGTGTCTAGTAGGTTCGCTTGTTCCAGATCGGGAACGAATCGTTCGGGCAATGCCAACGGATTGTTGCACGTTATTGTGATGTTGTGCGAGTTGCAGAAGTGCCACAAGTTTTCTTGGTTCAGAAATGGGTGACATTCAACCTGCGTATTTGGGAAATAGGTTGATGAACACGTGAGAAATTAGGGGTTAGCTGTGCAAAAGGTCAGGGAGTTACAGTTATTATGGGGTTAGTGTTTGGCATGTAACATAAAAGCCAAGTTTTCAAACTTTGCGTGTTAGGTCGTGCCAAAAATAAATTCCCCAAGTGTTGGACCTTTTTGCGTGTCTTTCGCAGTATCTTGTGAACGATTGCTTTTTCTATGACAATTGTCTCTGGAAAAAGTGGATGCACAAAAAGCAAATGTTACAGGCTCAAGGGAATCGCTTGCTGTGGGTAAAGGAAACGCGTTCGAAAAAAGCTTATAATTTACTGACAGGAGGGATTTTGAAAAGAAAGGTAACACTATACGTAAGAAAAAATCTTTGCTGTTGTCATGACGCAACTGTAGAGTTTAATTTTCAAGGAAGTCGCTAACACCTTTTCACAGCCATCGAACTATAAACTTGGCCCTTTTTTTGGACTTCCCATGTGTGAAAGTGACGGTGAACCGCATGGATTTGATTTAAGTTTGCCACAAGTGACGGGAAAATGAGTAATAAAACCGCGGCGAAAATTTGAAGACAATCTGCAGTTCTAGTTGGTAGTCTATAGTTTTAAACATAGGAGTAGATTTAGCGCCTTTTATTAAATGCTAGTAATTAATGCATGCGTAGCAATTTATTACCTTATTATTTGCGGGGACGCAAAAGTGTTGGCGCGTTTTCTGTACAGCGCATGGCTCTACTCTCCAGCATCAGCTACCATCAATTTGATACGAAAAAGTACAAGTGAAAAGGCAAGGAGTAGTTAATTATCACACAAAGCAATTCACATACTAAACAGAAGAAAAGTTAAGTAGAGGACCCCCCCCCCCTTTTCCTTGTATTGCTTATGCACCATCCGTCGGGCAGCGGGTACGAGAGTGACAGCAACTCATACAGCGAAGAATCAGAACTGTATGAGGTACCTACTTCCTCCACGGAATAAATGGCTTTTCGACTCATATAGGGCAACACCACACTGATAATATACTTCCACGTGCATACATAAATAAATATTTAAAATTCCGATGCAACTGAATACTAAACGATCCTCGAGACCAGATCAGTATAGATTGTAAAACAAATTTTTGAATCAGTATTAGTTTTGTCTTTATTCGAGGTGTGTACATCCAAATTTTATGCAATTCGGTTCATAACTAACAGAGATGTCAAAAAATTGAATTGCGCATTCCCAAAACAAATTTTTTGATCGGCATTCTTTTTACTTTTATTTGAGGAGCCTCCATACAACATTTCATTTAAATATCTTAACAAATAAAAAAATCCGACTGCGCATGCGCAAATAGTATATTAAGATGCAAGTGTATAATCAACTCTTTAAAGCACGCGCAACGAGTTTAATGGCACGACGCGAAGCGGAGTGCCTTTAATGTTGCAAGTGCTTTAAAGACCAATTATACACGTGTATCTTATACTGGGTGATTCATTAGAAGTGAGGACAATTTGAATTTCCTGCAAATCATAAAAATTATGAAGTTGGTACTAACTGATGATCATTTATTTAATTGCAGTGGTGTATCATCATGCTTTCAGTAAATCGTTTACTTATTTATAATTTTCAAATACTGCTTCTGTTTTACCACAAATTATAAACTAACACTAGACACAGTCACGTTTCTTACATATTTTAGTGCATCAACTCTAAAAATTGTTCAAAATGGAAAAATTAATAAACTGCAAATGGCACACACCACTGGTTTCTTAAAATGACAGTCATGACAGAAAAAAATTACTAACGAAATTCAAACCGTCAATCTAATAATAGTAGTATTTTTTATTATACCTGCAGTATAATTTAAAAATAGGAAATACAATGAAATCATATTGACCTTATACTCGAATACATGTCTAATTATGGGCTGGGTGTTCTTAATTTCACGATTGCCATGGAAATGTCACTTGACGTTTGCTTATAAAAATCATCGTCTTTGTGAATAAAACGATTTCCGTTCATTAAATCGCTTGTGAAATCCAAATCCAATAAAGCCTATTATAAAGAATATGAAAAGTTGTTTCCACGGATGAATAGGAAGTTACGTATGAATACAGTCTAAAAATGCATCGATAATGCTCGCATATATGAAGGAAATGTCAAAGGTATTTAAATCTTCTATCTTTTGGTGCATTCATTCAAAACTTCAACCAATGCTGCGATTAAAAAGTGGAACAGATTTGGAAGCATGCCCCAAATTTGAAATTGCACGCGTTTGTGAAAGCTTCAGCCAAATGATAGGGTACAAGCCAAAGAAATCTTCTGCATTTACAGAAAGCGACCTAGGAAGATTTTTTATTTCATCCCCAGATGACAGTTTCAAAAGTCCCCAAGAGTACATCCGGGAAAAAAGTACTCATTTTTTTCCTGGATATACTCTCATATACACATAAGTAAAGATAGATTTCAATTTTTGAGACGCTCTTTCACTGCATCTACTAACTCAGGTGAAGTCGGAAAAAATTCAGAATCAGACATTTTAACACAACCTCGAGCTAAAATCTAATACTTTTTTCCCTTGTATAATAAATAACTATTTGCGCATGCGTAATCCGATTTTTTGACATCTCCGTTAGTTATCAAGCGAATTGCATGGAATTTCATTTAAATATCTTAACAAATAAAAAAATGGGATTGCGCAAGTACAAAAGTTGGGTTGCGCGTGCGCATTTTTTTATTCATCTGCATAGTTGCCTAATAACTACACAGAAAACCGGACATTCATATGTTATTTGTAACAAGAAAGAAAGAAACCCTTTTTAGCGCATTTCCACAAAAATTAAAAAAATGCGCTATTGTGAGTAAGTATTGGGGGAGTTGTGCGTGGGAAAATTCTGGGGACCGTGGGAACTTTTTTTCCTTTGATGTATGCCGCCCGCGTGGGTGGCCCTAGACCGTGGGAATTTTTCCTTTGTTCTATGCCACCTGTGTGGGCGTGGTCTTAGACCGTGGGAACTTTTTTCTGTGATGTATTCCGCCTACGTGTAACTTTATGGTTATTATGTTTTGATTACATGGTTTTGGCCCGAAGTTAAATTTGTATAAATTTGGCATTCGAATTGTTTGATGTATGTATCCACTTTTCGCCTAGAAGCGACAGTCACAGGGATGGGAATACTGTAACCACCCTATAGTTACGACATCTCAGGCTGTGATTGAATTCGAATCACAACTGGAGCTTGTAGGCTGGAATTCCCGCTACTTAGTAGTAGTACTTTACAAGGGTCTTTCTCTTAAACACCCTTAAACTATATTAAATCCTCTTAGGATTTTTAAAATAACGCGCGTTAACAGGGGGGCTGGGTACTTACGGGCCAGGTGGAGTTGCATAGGTTACGGGCCATTAAGGCTGCGTTAGGCTACGGCGCCATATTGAATAGTAGTTCAAAACAACCTGCACCCTTTTTCTATAAATTTCAAATTTTATGGCACTATTTGTCGAATTTCTTTTCGAATATCATAAATGTATTAGTACAGAATGCAATGATATACATTATATAAGAAATATTTTTAGTAGTAAAAAGAAAAGTTTGTTTCTGTTTTGCCATTCTCGCTTTCTTGCCTTAGATTTCTTGTTTCTTTTATTAAATTTGTAAGAAAGACGTCCTTTACCCATAATTGGTGGTTACAATAAAAAATTAAGTAATAATGTTCCGAACGTATTCAAAAAATTATTAGGTAGGTACACAAATTACAATACAACACTCACACTGCACAGTGAATCTGCGAATGAAACAAAAATGCCATTCAAAATGCAAGGTCGGATAAATGTGTGCCCAGAGGGTAATTCATTACGTATTAGAAAGCTAATTAGGTACATCAATGAATCATTAACAAAATAAATTAATTCTCCTCGCCAACGCCATCTATTATTTTAAAAATAGTTATTTTTCAGATTAATTACAATTTTTACCGCCGAGGGCCAAGAACGCAGCCTTAAAGTATTAGTGTAATGAAGATGGCGGGGGGGGGTGAGCTCTTCCTTTTTCGAAAATCAATTACAATACAAAGTTTTTTTAAATTGCAGCTGGTAATTAAAAGTATCAAAATATACCTACATAAATCAAACCAGGCGCGTCGTCTATAATTGTATTTCAGCACTTGATGATACGACAAAAAATGATAAATTCATTGTAAAACACTTAAATAAAAACAGAATTGTTTAATGAACAACCTAACATCAACCCCAATGAGAGAAACGTGTTAATAATTTATTAATAGTGCAAGAAACTAAATACAGCACATACTTATAAATTTCCAACGGGCCATTATGACCTACAGGCCAGGTGGCAATCGCCACCCGCCCCCCGGGCCAGTCCGCCCCTGCGCGTTAAGCAAATTAACGTTTGGAAACCCATGGAGACGCTAGGGGGGTTTTAAATACCCTTGCACTCACTTGGATATAGCTCGTAAAGGGTTCTACAGGCTTATGTTAGTCAATCAAATTACTTTAAAGAATATTAAAGCTCAAAAGCTTTCAAGCGCTTGTTACATGTTTAAAGGGCATTCAAAGTAGTGGAAATCATTAAAAATCATAGGGACTCATGAAGGCTTGCATATGTGTCTTGAAAACCTTTTTGAGGCTATCGTATTTTTCTCGGACAACACCAGTGAATAAGTAATTAAATTACTTATTCATTGACAACACTCTTATTTTGTCTTAATGGAAACCCTAGTCGGTTGTGACTATTATATGTAGAAGTAATAGAGGACTTAAATAATTTGAGGCGAGCACATGAAGTGTGAAGCCAAAGGCGGATTGAAGAATTTCAATAATTGTAGTAATTTGGAGAGTTTAGAAGAACTGAAAAGATGAGGGACTGGGATAATCGGAGCAATCCTAAAAATTTGAAGAAACGGAAGAACTTGAAAAAGAAGAACATGAAAAATCGAAACAGTTCCAAGAAGCAAAGAAATCTGGAATCTTGACTGAACACACAACCGTAAATTATGCGCATCTGCTATTTCAGCTAAATGGAGACGGTGGCAGGTAAAATAAAAGGGAGGAGGAGATAGGTAGTTGACTTCGTGATTAAAAAGAGATATGAGTTTAGAGTTAGGAGTATGATGGGTTTCTTCTTTTTGGAAGACAGGGAAAGGACAGAAGAGTAAGATAGTCGAAGATAGCAATAGAGGTAGGTATAAGAAGAGAAAGATGCGATGATATTATCGGCGATTGCCAAAATATACATGTCAATTAAAATCGCAAAAAAGGGGAAAGGGGAATGACCCCTTCATTTTGTGTAAGATGCAAACTGATGGTGAGGAAGCAAGGGGAGGGTAGCTGGTAGCTCTATGCTTGTTCAATTTGCAGATTGTGTAATTAAAGTATCCATCAAAATATAGACATAGGGTAAAGGATATGCATCTTCTATTTGAAAAAGTAAAATGTTGCGGTAAACTACACATTTATCTCCAGTGAAAGAGAAAGGGAAAAAATGGTTGCCTGATCTAATCATTACCTATAGTCAGTTAAATCGTTGAGTGAAGTTAATTAGGTACTTAATGGTTAAATACAAATGGAAATGGGGTCATTGAGGACTTCAGTGGGTGTAATACTACTATAGTAGAAGACGGAAGTACCCAATACACGATTCGAGAGAAAACCAAAGGTCGAAAACTCAGCTTTGTTTTTAATATCACGCGCCAGAAGCATATCTAAGGTAATTATCAAAATACAGAACTGACCTTTTGCATACCCAGTAGGTACTTATGCCAGTACTCACATGCACCATTTTACTTAAGCTGAAAGTGTGAGTTTACCTGATTTATTACCGGAGGAATTTTCGCGGATTGGATTATTTTTTCTATCTGTCTCTTATTAAAGTTGCATACACCGATAGACTTGGCAAGGTTGCGTTGTACGAGTACCTCCATGGCTTTCCAAGTATCTACGAAGTGTACGGAGCTGAATTCGACGTTGCCTCTGCTGTCTAAAGGAATGAACTTTTCGCCCTCCTACAATATGACTATTGACGCCGCGATTTCTGCATCTAACATGTTACTTTGTACGCCATCGGCCAATGCATTAGATAAAGGTCGATGTAGCTCGTACGGAGATCGCTCAAGCTTTGCTTTATGGCTATTTCCACAGAGTCGGGCCTATGAAAGGTGTTCCACAATTTACACGTGATAAATAGGTCTCTTCTAGTGACAACGTTCTTATCTATAGCCTGGTCCAATGACTTTCCAAGTTCTTTTAGATTGTTATACACAGGCGCGCAGTCAAAGTGCCGATAACCAATTTTAAGAGCTTTCTTGATGGTTGAAGGTATTTCGTTTGGTTTAGTCTACAGTTTACATGTAAATTTAATCAGGCGTGTACATTTGTAAAGATTACTTTCCATGTTCCTAAACCTACAACGGGGATTTCCCTGCCATTGCTTAAGGTCAGTTTTGGTACTTTAATGAAACTCATATTTGGGACAGTGACAGGTACTGTCAAGCTTTGAAGTTTGAAGGCTTGTCAACAACGTCGAACTGCTTGTTCGTTTCCAAAAAATGGTGTGTATTTCTCGTTTCTTCCGAACTCATTTGTTGAGTCACAGATGATCCAAGAAATTGATAAAGGAGTTACTGTTAACACGTAGGGTAACTAAAGTCTGGTGGCACACTTACTACTGGCCATTAAGTGGTACACAAGGGACTGTCTAAGGAATGTCCAGTTTCCTTTTTAAAACTTTCTTGAGGAGAGGGGGTACCTACCTATACTTTTTTGCGGTCTAGGACATTCATTGCCGCCATTTCTAGACCGCCACATCATTGCCGAGCCAACTCTCTGCAGACCCATCTCATTGCCGATCCAACTAATTGCCGTCCATATCATTGCCGTGCCAACTCATAGCCAGTAAGAATTGGTTATAGAATGAAATTTGAGACCGGTTGTGCAGTCCTGTTTTAGCAGAATGGGACGTTTCAGCGCCGCCGGTTCATCGCCGCCGTTTCAGCGCCTGACCCGGTTCACCACCGGCCGATTCATCGCCGGCCAGTTCATCGCCAGTTACATGAAATCGGCAGTTATCGTCGTGTATGTATTAATATTGTAGCGCACTGGATAAAAGTTTTTATTGCTCTAGATCTAGATACAGCCAGTTAATTTGTCAAGAAACACTCTGGAGAGCGGGAAGGATGACTTAATTGCCCCTTGCATACAAGTAATTTGCCCCTTGTTTCACCCACAGCAGAAAAAGTCGAGAATTCGAGGTTTTTGCGAGGGGTTGGTCACGACTTATTTTAGGGGAATTGACTTTGTAAACAATAAACGCGAATTTACCGCGGAAACCATTACCTATTGGATTTACCTAAGATTATGTGCCTTCACCTAAACCTGGTCTCAAATTTCATTCTATAACCAATTCTTACTGGCTATGAGTTGGCACGGCAATGATATGGCCGGCAATTAGTTGGATCGGCAATGAGATGGGTCTGCAAAGAGTTGGCACGGCAATGAAGTGGCGGTCTAGAAATGACGGCAATGAAGTGGCGGCAATGAAATGTCCCATTCCGACTTTTTTGGGATGTTGATCATTGTCTGCAGTTTTGTTTTTTTCCTTCTGGCGGGAGGCTTGTCATAACTTTTGTCTTTGGTGGTCTTTGGTCAGTCTTCTTAATTCTTAATTCTTAATCTTATCTTTCCTAACTTTCATCAAAATAAAAAAAATACTCCAACGCGCTCGAGAATGTCAAGGTAACGTTTTGTGACCTTCCCACTCCTTCAATTCACGCTCAAATCGTCAGCTTATTGAAATGCACACTTTTCAACACGTAGTCAACCCACTTACGTGCTCGATTAAATACTAAAATCCCATATTGGCCTCCCCTACTATCACTAAAAGACGATTTCGGGCATGATTCAATATCAAGTTCATGTTACTATAACCTGTCTCATATTCAGCAGGGAACAGGGATAAAAATTGAAGGAAGGTTTTTAATTTCAGGAGAAACTGAGCTTGCATTATTATTTTCCAAAAAATCAGAAAGCATTGATGTACTGCCGCACTGGAAGATTCAATCTCAACCATAGAAACTATTTCATTTCCGTCAAACCTACATCTAATTGTTATTTGCAGTGTAAACCGTTCCATATGAATCAATAGCCCATCAGTCTCCCAAACGGCTCCCAATATGTAACAGGTGTATTCGATCCGTATAAACGCGGTTTACCTGAAACCGTCAAGAAAATCTCAATTTCAGGACTATTTTGACATTAGAAAGTCGATCTTTACTTGACTAGTACTGTAATATTTTTGCCTGACTCCAATTACAGTCCTAGTACATGCAAAATAACAATTAGATCGTTCATTGAATAAGTTATTCAATCAACGATTGGATAATTATAATGCAGACTGGATAATGGTTTTTTAATTACTAACAATTAATGGAATATGTGTGGAAGTAATTATTCCTTTAGTTTTGCGCCAGTCAGCATTAAAAGGTTTGTACGCCTTTTCGTACCTCTTTCTTGACTCTGTGGGGAGCGAATATTGCACTACGGCGGCCGCAGCTTCGGCTACATTATAACAACGTCTCGCGTAGGTACTCTTCTTCACTTATACCTGCTTTTGTACCTAGTTATAAAGACTGTATAGTTGAAAAGTACAAAGCATAAACTGCAAACTGCATTAACAAGTTAAAAAGTAATCGTAAACGATTTACAAAAAGCGCACTTGCATTCATTTCCCATTTGTAAGATGCAACTTCTGTTAAAATCGTAAAAATCCGGCCACAAATATGAAAGATAGCGTTGCAAATGTGCAATCCATTTTCGACGTGCTACTTCAATTTCAGTTTATAAGAAGAATGTCATTTCAATGCTTTTCTAAATAAGAAAGTTGGAACTGCGCATGCGCAAATCTAAATTTTGAAACTGGCGTTAGATTTTCCTTTATTCCAAGCACCTATGTATCAAATTTCGTTTAAATTCTTCCATAAATAAAAACGTTGACACTGCGCATGCGCAAACCCAAATTTTGAAACTTTCGTTATCAAAATTTCACACAGATGAATAATTTAATTTGGAAAAGTTATCTACATGTTGCGGTTTCAGGTAAAATGTTATACATAATATGTCATGAAAGTGAGTCCACCTGACTTGGAGGGATTAAAGAGGTACTCGGACGCTGCGCGTCCTCGTACTTTTCAATAAGCCTCCGCGTCATGTAAACGACCACTTTCAAGACTTATTATGTAAATAACTATTAATTAATGACGATGCTTTTCAGAACCACAGAATGTTTTCAATAGTAATACATGATGTGTTCTGCATTCAATCATTTAATAAATTCCTGTAAAGCCCCACAGTTTTGCGTCAAAACGTAGCAGGGGTTTAGTTACATTTCAAAGTGCGGAACTCCCTGATCGTTTTATTAAATTTTGACTGTATTCTCAGATATTAGATTTTTTTCCTAAAATGCATCCACGGCTAGCTAAAATTAACCATACACGACTATTGATTACAGCGGAAAATTTTCACAGTTCAAAAACGAAAAGCCTCTTATTTCCAATTATTTTTTCAACGTCAAGATTCCAACGGCCTGTACTGATGAACACAAATAAAAAAATAAACTTTACCTTAATCATACAGCATTTAAAACTACCCATTGAGTCGTCCAAGTTTGGAAAACTGGACCACCCCTTATTTAGTTTCGTAGGTCGTAGTGGGTAAGTTTCATTGATTTCGAAATCCGAAATAATAATTAATCTTCTTTACAGACGTCTCCAGATTGCTTATGTCTCCATATTTTGTTTACTTTGCTGATTAATGACAAAGTATGTGGCATTATAGAAATTTAGTATAGTCCGATTTTCACAGTGAAGATGTTGGAAATGCAAACGTTTGTGTTACTAATAACATACTCCAAAATAATTAAATATAATAAAGTTTATTTAAAAGAGATTTATAGACGCCTACACCGAATAAATACAAAATAAATTATAAACAAATAGATACAAGAAGCTGACATTCCATGCCTGCGCAATTCTAAGCTTACCTAACACATAATGAAAATCGTACTAAAATATCATCATTTCAGGAGCTTCAATATACTCTCGAAGAGCCGACAACCATTCGGCAGCCTTTGCCCCATCTACTATCCTATGGTCACTGCTTAATGTCGCACTTATAAAATGCGCTTTCTTAAAGCTAAAATTAAGCAGTGATTTACAAAGCAAGTCTCTTAATCGCATACTACCTACCCCTTTTCCGAGTTGTCGTCTGGAATTATGCGAATCTGATTACCACCCATCGCCAAAATCGCACATTGCGGTGGGTTGATGATGGCGGTAAAGTGGGCGACGCCGTACATCCCTAAATTCGAGACGGTAATCGTGCCCCCTTGAAATTCCGCGGGTTGCAGTTTTCCCTCGCGCGCTTTTCCCGCCAATTCCTTAACTTCTTTGCTGATGGTCTTAATGCCTTTGCTATTGGCACGGAAGATAATCGGTGTTATAAGGCCGGTGGGGGTGGAGACTGCGATGCTGACGTCCACATCATTATATCTACAAAGCGTCAAGTTCTGAAAGTGAGTAAAGGCGTTTGGACTTACTGTCGTATCGCTGTATCCATCCAAGCGCTGTTGACTTCAGGATGGGCAATGCACGCAAGCGCAGTGGCTTTCACAATGAAATCATTTACACTGACTTTAGGTCCGTTCTTCTCATTCTTCTTGTTAATTTTTTGACGAAGGGCGAGTAATTTATCTATGTTACAGTCGACGGTAACGTAATAATGAGGGACCGTCGTTTTTGACTCGAGCAATCTTTTAGCGATGACTGATCTCATATTGGTGAGCGGAATATCAATAAAGGCTGCACCAGATGGAACTGGGGTGGCTTTCTGTTTTGGAGCTGGTGCTGCGGATGGTGCAGCTGCAAGTTTATCTAGGTCACTTGACGTAATGGATCCGTACAAGCCAGTACCTTTCCCCTCCAGTCTAATTTGACGTTGTTCTGCTAACTTTTTGGCCATAGGACTTGCATATACTCTACCTCCTGTAGGAGGTGGCGTGGCGGCAGCAGCAACCGGTGCAGCTGCTGGTGAAGGAGGTGCGTCCGGCGAAGGTGGTGCAGGTGCGCCCGGCGAAGATGGTGCAGGAGAAGGTGCTGTACCTGCAGGTGCGCCATCATCCTTGTAATCCTTAAAGGCAGCAACATCGGCCGCCTTTTCAACTATAATACAAACTAACTTCCCGACCGGAACTTCTTTAGCGCCGGCTGGAATTAGAATCTTTGCCAAATATCCTTCTTCGGGCGTCTCGAACCCCATTGTCGCTTTATCCGTTTCGATTTCGGCTAGCACATCGCCTTCCTGCAGTTGATCGCCCTCTTTCTTCTCCCAACTGACGATGTTACCCACGTTCATGGTGGGCGATAGTGCAGGAAGCGCAACTTTCGTATGCGGAGGAAAACTGCCAGAGTATCGTCTTAAAAGCTGCCGTTGCCAGACTACTTTCCCCGTTTGTAAAATGCAGTTTACGCTAAATGCAAGCTGTCGAGTAATTATCCATCAAACTATGTAAATGTCACCTGTTAGGATGTTTTCTCTTTGAGACCTCGACTGTTAATGCGCGTCTAATGGTCAACCTGATCACCTTCTTAACGGATGGCCGAAGTAAGTTACATCTTACAAAGGCTGTTCGTAGCATACTTACTTAATTTGGAAACATAAGTTTGAAGGATAATGATTTTATATTTTGACAGTAGATGGCTTTTTATTTCCAAGGCATCTTTTCAAAAATGTAGGTATAAGCAGTAGATATAGCTACTATGCAGGGTGTCAATTTTAAAACATTTCAATGTGAGTTGAGTATCTCGCGAAATAGAAGAATTGCAAAATTGCGATTTGGAATAACTGTCATAGGGTGAAAAGAGAACGACGACTAAACATGTAATGGAAAGGTGTGTGCAGGTGTTTCAGTACTGCAATCTTGAGTTACTCTATACTCACAGTTGGAAAAAGTACAAGCAGATTCATCTCACTTTCATGTCAAAACGACGGACGTTTCATACCACTTTCAAATCTTGTTGGCAGTCGGATAGGGCAGGGTGGTACGAATGGAACTCCTACGTTGTGTACATGAGACACATTCGGGAAAGGAACTGAATAAAACTAAGAGCTTTGTGCGTCCCAAGAGATAGGAAAAATGAAATTTTTACGCACGAGGTTTGTTTTCAAGGCGCAAATGCAAACCGAAAGGTCATTAAGAATTTTTTTATTATACCTGAATCACAATCTTCGTTTTAAACACTCAAATTCTTGAAAAATCGGGCCTTTAAAACACAAATGTCATCTGGAACTGAAATAAAAATCCCCTTAGGTCGATTTCTGCAAATGCAAAACATTTCTTTGGATTGTACCTATTCTTTGATTGCAGCTTTCACAAACGCGTGTAATTTACGGTATGCTTCTAAATTTGTTCCATTTCTTAAACGCAGCAACGTTTGAAGTTTTGAATGAATGCATCAAAGGATGAAAGATTAAAATACCTGACATTTCCTCCGTATATGATAGCATTATCGACGCATTTAAGACTTTATTCGTAAGATGCTTCCTATTCAATCACGAAAACACCTTTTCATATTATTCATAATAAATAGGCTTTATTGGATTTGGATTTTGAACCTACCAACTTTTATTCTGCTTTCGCAACAAGCTGTTGAATGGACGGTGTATTATCTTTTTTTCACTACTAGCGTCTGATGACATGATTATTAACCTTTTTTCCACTTGTAAAGTAGGCTTTCTCGGCATTTGTTCAAAGTGGTTAATAATTTTTTATTATTAACTAGTAGTCAATAATGAGAACTGTCACGCTGTCACTTTTAGAAAACACAACCCGAAATTTCGCTCAATGAACGTTTAGACAAGTTCTCTAAAACGAATAATTGCCACCATTCGCAATTTCCAGAGAAATTACATACCTAAAATTATCACATTTTGAAAAAATTCGAACGAAATTACTCTTTGAAAAATCTCAATGACAGAACAAAATACGGCCTGTTTGACTTGTACTTCCACGTACTTGATTGACATGTTAAATTAAGAAACAAACAATTCTGTCCAACCGTTAACTCTCTTATCAATATAATATGTTAATTTAGAGGATTTCAAGTGCTAGTAGTGAAAAAAATAGTATATATACCACGGTAGAGAAGTCTATTATTGCCTTCGCACCTTACACCCCTCGGCGCAAGCGCCTCGAGATGTAATCTTGGTGCTCAGGCAATAATAGTGGACTTCTCTACCTTGATATATAATGTACTATTTCAACCTTAGTCATTTTATTTACAAAGACGGTGATTTTTATAAGCACACGTCAAGTGACATTTCCATGGCAATCATGGAAGTACGAATAAACAGCCCACCTGTATTACTAGATTCATCTTATTTCCTTTATTTCTAAATTATATTGTAGGTATTGTACGTTGTAAAAAATACGATATGAAACAAGTGTATAATTGATCTTTAAAGCACTTGCAATGTTTAAATGTACTCCGATACGCGTCGTGCCATTAAACTCGTTGCGCGTTCTTTAGACTTGATTATACACCTGTCTCTTAATATACTATTGTGTAAGTTTGCATTTCAAAATCATCTTAAACCTACAAAATAACCTAAAAAAAGATGCATGCCCAACGGCACCACAATTACTCTCTGCAGCCGCTCGGGGAAAAAGAACTAGCAACAAAAACTGAAAAACCTGGTATATACGCACACAAATACAAGAAATAAATTAACTATAGTAACAAAATGCAAGAGAAAAATACACAAATCAAACATCTCAAATCATGTAATAAAATTTGTTAAGCCTACAATAACAATTTGGTACCAAATCGAGTCAAATGCAGTTAAACGAGATAGTGAACGAAATATCAGAGAAATCATAAATACAATTGGTAAATCAATCAAATTAGTACAAAAACACAACTCGTAAAATGATAAATACCACATATATAAAAAAAACAACATTAAAAGGTCATGACTCTACTCCAGCACCGGGTACCACTAATTTAACATGAAAAGTACATGTAAAAATGCCAGCAGTATTCAAAAGTCAATCATCTCACAAACAGACCCACATACTAAACCCAAGAAAATTAATTAGAGGGTCTCCTTCTCGTATTGCTAAGACACAAAAGCTGCAGTCCACACGAGATTGGGAAGTAACATGATACAGCAAAGAATCGCAACTGTATGAGGTACTTCCTCCACAGAATAAACAGTTAGTCAATACATACGTGACTATGTAAATAAACACTCAATAAAACATATACAGGTCCAAGCATCTGTACAGTATAACAAACACGATACAAATAAAACAAAAGCCTGGAGCACGCCATGCTTCAATAAACAAATATCAAAATCTAATGTAAAATGTAAATATAACAACTTGTGACACGAAATAAGAAATAAAGAATAAAATGATTAGTACCTGTGAGTACAACTTTTATAATAAAACCAAACAAAACAAATATTGAAAAACCAGACAGGTTACCACGCTACTAACGCCATCGGAATCTAGTGACCGACGCTAACCTTTTGCCAAGATTTGTCGCGAAAATCCCTGTTCTTCGGTAGCTGCGTAGAACAATCGAAGTCATATATTTTTCACCATTGCTGTAGGCAAAGAGCGTTTCATATTTATTTTCCCATGGTGATATTTTTCCTGGTGTAAGGGGTGTTGCCAAACCGTATGGTACCACAGTATGACAGAAATAAACTTTAAAGAAGGAGCCGTGGCTGAACGCAGAGGGAGGAGGGGGTTAAGAAAGAAGGTGAAAATAAAGGTTAACAAACGTGAAAAAACAGGATACATTAATCAAACACGACGAATATTCTTATAAATAGGAAACTTAGCATTGCGCATGCACACACATAATGTTTAAAATATGCGATATGTTTGCCTTTACAATAAGAATCTTTAGTTAAAATTTTAAACAAGTTAAGAAGTCCTTATGCAAACATAAATGACTAGAGCGTATTTTCTTCCTCAAAACTAAATGTTGACATTGAGGGATTTATGGCAAATTGGCCAAGAACTTCAACCTGAGCTGCTTCATTAAGCAATCTTGGTTGCTTTCTTTTTTTTATTGATAACCGGTCCCGTTTCTTCGAATTTAGGGACCAAATCTTGAACATAGGCGTGAGTTAATTTTTATTTTTTTTTGTTAATTATTAAATTTTTGTTAAATTGTCTTTAATGAATATTGACTTTATTGGTACCACTGGAAAGCATTTTTCAGTAGCTTTAAAACGATGTGTCACAAGTATGGGGTAGCCATTTAGGATTATTGAAGAGGGGGGGTGGGGGGTTTTCTCTCTTAACATCATTCTGCTTCCCCCTCGATACCCCCGAAACGGTTTTTCGCGATTTTCAATATCTTCTTTAGTTTGGAAAATATAGCCGACTGCAAGTTTTAAAATTGACACCCTGTATAAAGTTTCATTTAAATATCTTCGTAAATAAAAAAGTTTGCATCGCGCATGCGTTAAACCAAATTTTTGACAATGTGCGTGCGCAAAATCAAAAATATGGGTACCTATGCACGGAATCCTTGAACCAATCCCTTTCAAATGAGTCGTATATCGCCAAAATCGGTTCAGTGGTTTAGAAGGAGTACGTGTGACGGACAAACGGACGGACGGACGTCAAAGTGCAACCAATAGCGATTTTTCACTTTGAGGAAAATACGCTAAAAATAAGGAAGTTGACATTGCGCAGTACGCACGTCTCATTTTTACAATATGCGATATGCATGTCTTTACTATAATAAGCATCTGTGGTTACAATTTCAAAATAATATCACCATAAATTAAAGGAGTAAAATTGCGCACAATGCGCATACCCATGTTTGATTTTCACAATATACGATATGATTGTCTTTACTAGAAGCATCTGTGGTTAAAATTTCAAAGAAATATCTCCATAAATAAGAAAGTTGACTTTGCGCACGCGCACATTTGATTTTTGGAATATGCAATATGCTTGTCTTTACTAGAAGCATCTGTGGTTAAAATTAGAAAGAAATATTGCTATATGTAAGAAAGTGGAAGAAGCTGTTTAGTCCAGAATTTTGGGGGAACGCAAGCAACAAAGCATAGATTAATTACTTAGCGGTATCTATACGAGAAATCAAATGCATACCCTTCTTATAATTAACTGAAGGGAAAGTATCAAACACGGTCCACGGAATAAAACAGAGCGGAAGAAAAAGGAATCTCGATACACGCGAGCACAGTGAAATTTCTAAACCTTACATTTCGGTGAAACACCAAAGGTGAAAAAGATTCCCTCTAAATAAATGTACCTTTAATAAGATTCATTTAATTAGCTACTGTTAATTACAGTTACTTAATTTGCCGGATTAAAAATTTCCAAATTCGATTGCCCAGTAACGCCTATTGCTACCTAGAATTTTAGGTCAATGGCAACAGATGTTCAGTCAAGTTTGTAGCGGTCATCTATGTACGGTGTGTTCATAAATTCCGGTATGAAAACTGAAAGCTTCGTTACAACTAGTAACTAGTCGCGTGCGATTATCTGCCAGTGACGTATCCGGTGAACAAACTTTTACATGCGAAGACCAATTTGTCTCAAATTTTGCATATGCATTCCTCTAGTGGTGACAAGTCAAACTTTGGGGTAAAGGGGGGGGGGGAGAAGAGGCGGGGTAAATACACGTTCTGCTCTTCATGGTATTCTAATGAAAGGTATCATTGGAAGGATGTGGTTTCTACCAACTATAACTTTCTTCTGCGCTTCCACGACCATTGTTGGGTGTGGGACTTTGTTTATGTAATCTACCACAGGCGAGAAACCAACCTATTAAGTTCTTTATTAGCCGAGTTTAGTCTTCTAATGAGAAGGAGAAAAACAATCTTCTTGTAAATCTGAAGCATTTTACACAAAACTAAGCTAAGAAGCAAATTGAACTTCACATTTTGTTATAAACAAAAACCAATATTATCTACCCACAAGTGGGTATCATGAACAGAAATAATGAGTAAATTAATACTAACGAGTATCGAAACACTATTACTTAGAATCTCGTTAGACAAAAACAAACATGAGATGAAACCATACATTAAATCATTACTTAACAATTATTGATATAAACTAGAAAATAGAAACTTGCTACATTTCGATGCAAGACGATTATAGCGGTATTACTAATACTTGTGATGAATTTCTTTAAAGAATTGAGATTTAAGGTACAGCAATTCGTCGCGTTTTTGGTTTTACTCTAAACCAACCAATACAAATCAAATACATTTCTGTGGTATTCGAATTGTTTTTTTTCAGTCATTTGATCTACCTACATACATATATTTACAAACAGCTAACTAAATCTATAGGAATCGTATTTTAATGCTTAGCTTATTTCATATCACACGTTTTCATAAAGGACCTTGTAGTTGATCTTGATCACTTGGAATCCTCTTCAAGGAAAGTAGCTCATTCTGATCTGCAACTCCAATTTCATAACACACTCAAAGCGCCAAATTTAACCTACCTTGCTCTTGTATTCGGTAAAACTCCGCCAAGTCTGCACCAGAGCATAAAGGTGTATCGACCTGTAGAGTACTATCGAATCTGGAATAGTCAACCTGGTACCCTTGCCTTTCATTGTTATAACTAACGATGGATTCGAATCTGTGCCCCCACAAGACCTCGCTCGAAATATAGCTGGACCGCGCCTGAGTAGTCTGTCCAGTACTTTCGATGGTACCCTCCAGTATAACGACGATTTCGAACCTGTCTTGCAAAACGTCACTGGCCGAAAGAAAGAAGAGCGGCGAATTTTCATCAATTTTATGCGTTATGGTCATTGGCCAAATGAAGAACAGGTCTCCGTCGCATCCATCGGCTCCGACGGCCAGCTCCGTTTGGTACTGGGTGAGATCTTCGCCTTCCTTGGTGGTCTTCGCACGGATTAGTTGGGCACGTATATTCGCGCCGATAATGTGACTCTTCCGCATATCTCCCACTCTGAACATTAAGCACAAGAAACCGTCGCGTTGGCAAATGACGGCGTTCTTCGAGAAGAGCAAGGTCTGAGTGCGATGCTTCGGTCGCGTCATTTTGGCAAACACAATTCCCACCATCAACGCCTGAATGACTACACCTACAATACTCTGCAGGCACATCACGAATATCGCTTCGGGACATTCTTCGGTGGTCGCTCTCGACCCGTAACCGATCGTGTGCTGAGTTTCAATACTGAACAGGAAGCATGACGTGAACGAATCAATCTGGGAAACGCAAGGAGTCCAACCCGACTCCTCCTGGGCGCTGGGTAAGTGTTCGGGTTCAAGATCTCCGTGCGTTAACGATATCAACCACCATATCACGGCGAAACCCAGCCACGACAAGAAGAAACTCAGGGCGAAAATAATTAAGGTCCATCGCCACTGCGTGTCGACTAGGGTGGTGAAAATATCTTGCAGAAACCGTATTCGATGTTTCGATATGCGCGAGTGGAGTATGTTGCAATCGCCATTTTTGAAAACTGCCCTCCGCTTTATTTTTCTCACGGCTCCTGGACGAAAGCGACTCCTGAAAGAAGGATTATGCATTAATAATACTTTCCATTCGAAATATGGACGTTTACTACTTTTAACACAGTTTGGTCCTAATCGGAATCTCTGTTTTATCTTTATTAAGAGGATGCGGTTAGTTTTTATTTTTTTAGTTCACTGACGTGGTTAATGTTCTGATCAGGAAAACTATAGTTGAAAATAGTAGTAGTAGATTTTGCTAGTGTATTGGTGTCTCTTGGTTTTATTTCAAAATGCAGGAATCCCTTTATATATCACGTTAGGATTTAAATTTCTAATCGTATGCGGTTTAGTTACGCATGGAATCCGGTCTACGCGTGGCTTAAGGTGTGTTAGTTAGCGACTTGATTAGTGATCAGAAATGGCAATCCCCGTATGTTATTGTTGATCTCAAATTCCGAAATAGTGTCGATGCCCGTAAAACCATGCAAGTTTTAAGCACTCCTCCCAACACTTTTTTGTTACAAAAAACGTTAGCTTTTTATTCTAAAACCCACGACCAAAGCATTACACCAAAGTCGCATTGCCCCAAACCGATGGAGAATACCTATGTTGAATGTTCGTTTAAAAGTAAATCAGCTAGTTCCCTTAACAACAAGAGTCTAGTTTATTAAGAGAGACGTCAGAGAGGAGTGTAGTCAAGTCTTCTTAGGACTAGTCATAAGAGACACTTTAAGAGGTTTTAAAGGTCTTTCAGAAACCACCTTTAAGAGCTTTTACAAAATATACTAAGGACTATTCTTTGGCCATTCAAAGTCGACGCACTGATTGGTCCATTAGGCCGATACAAATGTTTGAAAAGGACAATCCACACTAACTCCTAGGTATGGTATAATGAATGGCTCCTTTGATTTTGAAGTTCCGATACGAATACTCAAAATTAGATTCTCCGACGGTAAATGTCAATGTCGTATAAAAAGTAGTAGGTATTTGCGTACAATCGATCGCTTGGAAAGGGCGAAGAAAATACCACATTTCACATTTTTGAAGTCTATTCTTCTAGTTTGTGGGGACTCAGAATTTAATTTTGCGTGTTTAAAAACTTCCACTATTGTTTGTATTCGCCATATTATTCTCTACTTCGCAATGCAATTTTAAAATTTCCGCTATTGCTGGTATTTAACGTAATAGTTTTTGAGCTGTTAATTCTCCTTAAAAACTGTAAGTAGCAACTCTACGCGTTTGTCTTTTCATATCCATAAACTTCGCTATCATAAGAGCACGCATTTTTTTCGGCAAATAATATAAGTCTAAGTCTTGATTATTAGAGTTGTCACACAAAAATGTAAAAACTTAACGCCCTGCGATAAAGTACATGTGGTCGACTTACTTGCGCTGGCGCTTCGCGCTAAATCGAATAACGCAAAATAAAATCCACCCTATGGTAATTTACAGGTGGTTAAACTAACGCCCGCGGCCCCACGTGAAATGTTTTTATACAAAGTACCGCCCTACGCTAAATTACATGTGGCTGACTTAACTTCGCTCACGGTCCAATGCACATTTTTTTTGGAGGCTCGACGCGAATTTTAACACAAAATAAAATGCACCCTACTGTATTTTACAGGTTGTCGACTTGACTTCGCACACGGTACAACGCGCATTGCTTTACGGTTCTCCCAGAACATTCCGGCACGCAAACGTTTTCCACCAATAAAATCTCACGTCTCACAGGCGTCCCACCGTTTCAAACGCATTTACTAGGTTAGGACCGTGGCAAAATTCGATTAAACTAAAATTCGTTAACGGGTTCCCGTTACAAATTGTGTGAGGGTGATATGGTGATACAGTCTCAGGTTGAGCTTGAGTTTCTGATTGAGTTACAGCTTTAGTTTTGCTTCAATTTGAGCCGGAATGCAATTAAGCATGTTAAGCTTAGTCTTCGATTTGAGCTTTAGTTAAAACTTTTCTTAAATTTGCCTTTTCGGCTTGGAATTGATATTAAGTTTGCTTCCATTTTCGTTTAAAACGTTGAGTTTAAATTTGTCAAAGTTTGAATGCATGTGCGAGTTTGAGCATTGGATTAAGTTTAAGTTTGACTCTCGGTATGTAGGAGCCAGAAAAATGTGCAAGAGTCTCCAGTTGAGTTGAGAATTTATTAAGAGTGTTCAAGGCCATTCTAGAGTGTTCTCAATTATTCTACAGTGATAGCATTATTTTGAGAACATTTAAAGGTTTTCAAAAACTTCGAAAAATGCCCGGGAGTCTCCAAGTGTTCATTTAGGGACTGTAGGTTTCAAAAGATTTCAAGAGATCTACAGAGTCATACACTACATCCGGCTGACATTCAACTCCTAGGGTGCCACCGAGGACGCACTCCTAGCCCTCTTGTACCACATGCTAAGAAATGACTACTAGAACAGAGCTAGGAAGGTAATAAGAAATAGACGCATCAGATGTCAATTCTCAAATGCGGTCCTGACTTTGTGAATGCGTTTGAAAGCTTACGGTGCCGGTGAGTCATGGGATTTTGCGTGATTAGTAGAGGAAGGAGTTAGATATTTTGCTGTCATTGTTATCGGGACTTCCGCGTAGCGTAGGGTTTGCGAAATCAGCAACAAATTACTCCACGTTGAGTTGTTTTATGGCTGTCAAGTAATCTGATTGGATTGGAAGTAGTTTATTGGTGGAAACGGTTAGCGACATGAGGTGGATGTTCATTAAAAGAATAAAGTAGTTGGATATTGGCTGTTTTGGGGAAACTTGAATCGTGAGCGAAGTCAAGTCAACCACCTGTAAATTATCCTAAAGTAGATTCTATTTTGTGTTATGATTGCCGTAGAGTGGATTTTATTTTGTGTTACTTATTTGAATTCGCGTCGAGCAACCAGCTCACTTAAGTCGCCCACCTGTAATTTATTGTGGGATTTTATTTATGGGTTTACTCTAACAATCGACATTCCTGTAGATGGATCCAGATATGTATACAATTTAAGCTCATTTAAATGACCGATTATTTCAGAGTTAGTAGGTATGGTGGCACTTGGGCCTCGGAAAATTCTGGAGACTGTGGGAAAATATTTGGGCAGTTGATCCGCGTCAAATTATGGCAGTTGGCCCGGTGCGCAAGGTCAGTTAGTGCGAAATCGTATTTCGACAGTTGGTCCAGGATGCGAGATTTCGCCATCGATCCGGGGTGTCACATTTCGGCAGTTGGCCCGGAGTATTGCGGTAGTTGGCCCACATCTTGGATATCATTTCGAACCCACCGCCTTGGATGCTATTTTGGAGCCGCCGCCTTGGACCGGAAAAACTGTAACTTCACATAACTTAGTAGCTCATTCCATTCTTCAAGTTTCATAACCGTAACATTACCTCGTTCATAATTACCGGTCCCAATACGCAGTACCGGTACAAGGTTCGGGTATGTGCTGTATCCAATTTCCACATACTTTGCAAGAGGGTTGGTATTCGATAGTTTATAATAAACACAATCGATTAAGTGTTCTTTGAGCGCTTATTCATACACTCCTCCTCCTCCTTCATTATTATGGTTTTACCGACTGCGTCCGAATGGCGACCAGCCTTTGGACTTTGAACGACCGGCAACCTTTGGACTTTGAACGGTGAACAAACTGTGTGGACACATCGGAGGTATCCATATTATGTTATTACATACTTAAAATGGGGTAGACATGGATGCAAATTGGAAGAAAAGTGAAACTCTAAACCTTCCACATAATTCTACATTTGTTAAAGTTAAAATGCGACTAGTTTCGACGTGACCGTTATCTTCCGGTTTTTAAAATACGGAGAAACAGTCTAATGATTACATTACTGGTGGAACATGTAGTTAATTATAACAAAGATTATAACTTAAAGTCTAGGTGCATGGGGAAAAGTACAACATCAGATTATAACATCAATTAAGAAACCATTATTACAAGCAAGAAATTGACTCGAAGGTCCATAAACAACTTTTACTTAATTAAATTTGTTATGACGAAAATTGCTTGGCGGAAAGCGGCGCCATTATTATTACTGGGTGACCTAACTTTGCTCACTGTTCAACAAGCATTGTCACTCGATTCTCTCGGAACAACCAACTGCCCACTGCTCTTTTTTTTTGAAGTGACACCAATTCCAGGACGCAATTTCCACCAATAACATTAATGTTATACAACCAATCAGATTGTTTGTCAACCATAAATTCACTTAACGTGGAGTAATTTTTCACGGATCTTGCAAAACTTACGCCACGTAGCAGCTTCGGTAACGACGACTGCAAAATAGACAAAATCATCCTACATCCCACGACTCACAGACGTCGCAAGCTTTCAAGCGCATTTAAACAGTCAGGATTGTATTTCAGGAAGAAATCCTAGCAGTATTATCACTTAAAATTGTCACAATCAAAAAATGATTTGCCGTTGTTTAGTCGCCGACACGTAGTACCTTCTGCGGTAGGGGCGGGAGACGCCCCTACACGGGTAAATATTGTTGTATAAACAACGACAGGCGAATGTTATCTAGGCTGAAATAATACCGAAGGCAATAATGGGCCATCCTGTATATGTGAATGTTTTAATTTAATTAAATCTGGAGGATTTCATTACAAATAAGCATAACATAATAACATAATAGGTTTAGTTCATTTGGTATTTAGTGTCTATTTTTCTATTTAAAATTATTTTTAATTGCATTATAATTATGATTCGTGCAAATTTATTTATTTAAATTGTAAGTTTTGAAAATTGCGTTATTAAAAATTAAGGAACATCTGTGTTTCGGAATAATTTTTTTGTCATTGCCAATCAAGTAATCTTGTGTTTATTCGAATCCATTCTACGACCCAGATAGGGTTCTCATGTTATTTCTATTTGTGCCCAAGTCTCCCAAATGTCGAGTGATTATTAGGATTTTGTTTTGTAGCGAATGTAGGTTTACGATGAGAGATCATAAAAATTCTAATTACCAAATTGAAAACCATAATGAATTTAGTTAAAGGGATAGATGTTGCCATACGGCTTTGAACACACCCACAGCATAATAGGCCTTTTTCAAAATAAATCTAAGAGGTAATCAGAGTTAATGTTTCTGGAGCTTGGAACTTCTTGTCGTTCGTCTCGTCACGTTCATAGATTATAGTGTATTGTGTTGTGCCTTATGGATACCTAATCCGCTATTTTGCACCAAAAACCAAAAAATTGGGATTGCAGATTTAGGGAAGAAAAATTAGGACGATATTAGTTATAAGACGAAGAGAGGATTAACGTTATGTAATTATTGTTCATGTATAGGTAAGTAATAGTACACAATCCAATTATCACATTGGTTACCACCTCGGTTACCACTCAATAAATATATGGAAATAAGTCCTAAGTGTCACTGGCTCCTTAAAAATGCGCCAAAAATAATTCAAATTCAGATTCCATTAGGTACTCTATAGGTAGGTATCATTGAGTTTTTATTCAATGGTAGGTATATAATTGAAACATCACCAAAATCGAGCCAAAAACGCAGCAACGGGTAGCTATAAGAAAATTACAATTCATACGCATGCTTCACTTTGGTAATTTGCAAACAAATCTTGCAGAAACTAAATTTACATTCCCAACGGTCAATGATTGATGCAATCGACCTTTATATCTCCCATACAAACTATTAATAACGTCAACACGCGACCGTTTAAAAAAACCAAACATTAAGTTTAACGAGTCCCATCATGTGATTAAGTAAGATAAGCGAACAGTCTTACCTGTTTAAAACGTTATCTGGAGTTTTCGGGTAATAGGTGCCGGGGGTGCTTTGGCCACTTTTAAAGTTCCTTGGCGCGTTTTGAAATATCAAAAATCTCGTATCCTCTTTGTCACTTCCCGGCGATTCCATATTCGATCACTCTACACAGGTAAACTAAGAAACGCGTTAGCACCTGACATTCTTAAATAAAATTCGCCGATGTGCTAATCTCTTTTGATTGGGAGTACAAATAGCAATTAGTGGTCGTTTATTCGCGAGGTGTGAAAAATAATCATATCTTCGCATTAACACAATTAATACTGGCTCGCAGTTGTGTTACCATATATCTATTTCACATTTGAGGTTATGTTTGTTTGAAAATGATAAGATAACGTCGCATAAATTTCCTTTATGTCAGTCAACTTTTAACTCAACTGCCAATTTTTTCGAAAATGGTACCTATCTAACAAAATGATGCTCATATCCGATTAGCACCTGGAATGAGGTTATTAGATCTTTTACGTAGTTCGTATTTTATCCTTGATATTTGGACGGCAACAAATAATGGTAATGGACCCATCACTTTGAAAAGCGTGGGCGCATTTTGAACGACAATTACAGGAACTGGCAGCTCTCAATTACTTAATTGGACAATGGATGCAGCACCCCCATTTTAATCTAGCACTCAAATCGCAAACTATAATTTGTTAATAATCTCCTTTCGTCTTATTAAAAAAACGGTTGTGCGAATAGGCGATTAAAGTATTAACGACCAATAAAAAAGTGATCGCGAATAGCGCCAATGGTTGTAAAATTGTTTTCGGCTAATTACTCGCGATAATTAAGTCAATTTAGTAACATTTAGTTGATTCTACTTATCAAACATATTGTGTTGTACGGCTTGGTTCCCTGCTATGCTTCAGGAAACATTGGGGAACACTTCGGAAAACCTTAGGAAAGTCCGGTCGTCCTTCTAAGAATTAATAAATGGGCAGGTCCATAAAAGCCTCTAAAAAGTAATTAGATCTTTCCGCCCTTTGTCAGTACCCTACCACGCCACTCCGTTTTGCAGATATTTGCATTAAAAGTTTTGACATCACTAGTAGACGTGTCTCGTCCAGACATTCCACTGGCCCTTTTATAAGTACCCTCTTCCGACACTTTGTTTTCAATATATTCGATATCCGGCGAGACGAATGCCGTTGTGAGTAGGTACTGTCTTCCGACAAACCGTTTTCACGATATTCACCGTTAAAGTTTGGACATCACCAATGAATATATTTCTTCCAGACGTCCCAATCGCCCTTTGTGATTACCCTCCTTCGATAATCCGCTTTTGAGATATAAGGAATAATAACCGATCACAATAAGGGGTCGAGGGGGAGGAGTATAGTTAGTAGAAATTAATTCCTTAATTAGAGGACCATGAAAATAACGCTAGTGGCCCCCTACCCCTCAATCTTGATATGGGGTAAAAGCGAAGGGCGGTAGTTGGTAGAAAACTGTTCCTTTCGTCGATATCTTTAGAGTAGGTGCCATGAAAGATCCCCCCTTCCGGTCACAAACTAATTTGAAGAATTTGTGGTAAAGAAATGGACTGCAACTTCGTCAACGGGGTATGTAGGTAGAAAGCGGAAGTAAGAGAGATTCGAGAAGGAAGTGGTAAACAAGGAAGCGTGCAAAAAGCACACATGAAAAAATAATGAAAAAGACTTGATCAAAGCGATTTTAAGACTTGAAGGAAATGTAAAAGGAGCATGAAGTGTAAATGAAAGGAATCCGAAAGAAACAAGTATAAATTGTGCACAACTCTTGTGCAGATAAAGCGCATTTTTTTAAAAACCGAAATAGCTTTTGTTTTGACATCACCAATGGCATAGAGTAATGGATATATTTCTTGCAGACGTCTCAATCGCCATTTGTGAGTTTGTATCACGATAAGAGGTCGAGGAGGAGGGGTATGGTTGGTAGAAATTAATTCCTTTCGTTGAAACCTTTCATTAGAGTACCATGAAGGATAAAACTAGTTCCACTATTCCCTCCTCCCCCTCCACCCCGTACTTTGATAAGAGGACAGAAAGAAGGGCAGTAGTTGGTAGAAAACGGTTCCTTTCGTTGAGACCTTTAATTAAAATACAATGAGAGATAAAATTATTTTTTTACCCCCCCCCCCCCTCACGCCCCGTCGCTTACTGATAACAAGAGTCGCATGGGTAAGTTATAGCTTGTACAAACCAATTTATTTCGATGAGACCTTTAATTAGAATACCATGAAGGGTAGAACATGTGGTTACCCCCCCCCCTAATTTTCTAAATTTAACTTGGCACCACGACCAAGAGATGCGTATGCAAAATCTGAGACCAATTGGTTGTCGTGTGTAAAAGTTATGCGTTTTACCATTGAGTAATTCAATCTTCTTCGGTTTTACTTTCAAAAACAGCATCTCAGGAAATTCGTGGGGGGGGTCTTTAGACAGCGAAATTTAATGGCCGTCTTTAAATGGCGATAATTTTTTTTTGAATTTTTATGAACTTGACATTTTAGAGGTTGCTAGCAGAGAGTATACAAGGTACTCATTTTCTTTCCGGAAAACGTTGAACGAAATTCGGCAGAATATTCAGTGTGTGGGTTTCAAGTAAAAGGGCCGGTGGGGCGGGGGGCAAACCGATTTCGATTGCCTCTTAAAGAAATATGGTTTATTTAATTACTAGACCTCTTTTTGAAAAGATCGTTAATTTATTAAAAAGAGTGGGTGGGGATTAATCTGGAGAGATTTTTGAGGGCATTCGATTTTGGATTTCGGGAGCGCCAGCCGTACTTCTCAAGACATAGTTTTTTTCGGGAGATTCAATTTTCAATCCCGCAAGAAGTAACCCGTCGGTTGCCGCGATAAAAATTCGTTTTGAGATCGCCAAGCCGGAAGTTGTTTTTTGTAAAATTAAGGGTTGTATGTCTTAGCTTTATAGCACTTATTAGCAAACTGAATAAATCATTGAAGATGTCTGTGATATTTCATATGGAGTTGTATATGAAGCATATTTTATAATTAAGCGAATTACACTATGTCAGAAATAAGGATGTCTATCAAGGGAATCTCCGAATCCATAGAGATACGACTATGGGCAAATTACAGAAAAGATGCGCAGTTAAGAGTTGTTTTCACGCTTTAAAGAAAACCAGAAAATTCCGATTACTTCCGAACATATGCCAGAAAATTCAAAATTTCCCGTTTTCGTTTTATTTTTTTCTGATCGTATTTGAGGGATTTGCAATACCACGTTTCGTTTCGGAGAAATCATCATCAACTTTAGTTTTTATACGGCCCGCAAAAAAATCATCATGTATCAAGTAGAATTTTTTATTACCAATACAACGATGTACGACACAAAAAAAAACAAAAGTTGGCAGCTCTGCTGGTTTCAACAGGATGGTACTTCTGCGCAGAACCTCCTAATCGTTCGAGAATACCTATCGGATAAATTTTCTATTTTCTTAGAAATTCGTCCGATCGGTATTTTCGCACGATGAGCGCTTTGAGCGCGGGTGCACCATCCTGTTGAAACCAACTTTTGTTTTTTTTTGCTTGTGCCGTATATCATTGAATTCGTAAGAAAAAATGGTACTCAATATAGTATGTAAGTTTTCACGGATCCTAAAAAATAAAGTTGATGATGATTTCTCCTAAACGAAACGTTGTGTTGAAAATCGGTGTCTTGTGGAGCGCTAAAGTGACAATGAGAGTGTCTTTTTTTTTTTAATTTTGTTGTATCTTTTCAAATAACACCAGAAAAAATAAAAACCAAATCGGGAAATTTCGGTTTTTCTGCCATTTTTTTCGGAAATAAGCGGAATATTCTTGTTTTCTTTAAATCATGATAACAAATCTTGGACCGTGCAACTTTTCTCGAATTTGGTCATCGTCGCATCTTCTATGGTATCGGAGATCCCTATGATACACATCCTTATCTTGGACACAGTGTATTTGTTCTACACCTGGGTAAGTAGAAGGTATAATGGAGTGCCTGCAAGATAAACGCGGAGCAATTTAAGACAATTTGTTATGCAAAGAGACCCCATCAATGTGTGCAGGAATTAAATTATGCAAAAAATAAAGTATGATATAAGTACTTTTCTTCTGATTGAAAGAGATGGGACATTCAATTTTTCAAGTCGAGGTGAAATAAAGTGATTTAATTGTAAGTAAATTGTTACATTGAGTACAGAACGTTTTAAAATTTCCTTTATGTGCACCGAAAAAGTTAGTTTCTTGTCAAAAAAGATTCCAAGATCACAGGTGGTGTTGACGCTGATTAAACATGCCTATAGCATCAATTTTATAATAGAAAGATAGCTCAACAAGTTTTATATACATCACTTTACATTAATTAATGTTCAAAAAAAGGTTATTTTTGACACCAAGATTGTTTTATTGTTTTATTTGTTTTCCTAATGCTCTTAATCTGTAAATTGAAGCCGTTTGTAGTACATGAATTTTATCATTTAGGAACTGGATTTAGTACACCTTTTTGAAGGTCTCTACCGACTTGTTTTAAAGTTCTTTTGTAACTTTGAAATATTTCCTAGGCACTCTTAGGGCCTCTTGAAGTTTTGAAACTAAAGTATCGAAACTTACGATATCAGACAAAGAGATTCAAGGAAATAAACGATTCTAGTGTCCTGGGTTGCCCAATAGAACCAGATTAAAGAATCACACGATTTATAAACAGTGTTTCGAAAAAAAATGTGTACTTCCGGTACTTTTCGTCGCAAACCACAGATTTCGCAACTTTTGCCATTTTGCAGAACCAGGGCAAGTAGAGTTTGGAAGAAGCGAAAGTCATCCACTTTAAAAATGTCCTAAAGAGATAATGAGCTAATTAAATTAACTATGGAAACCTTTTGTTTGTTGTACAACTCCGTGCATACGAGTAGTTTGTAATTAGGTGCTAATTTTGCGTGTCTGATCCTATCTGACTCTGAAATACAAACAAATAACTGCGAAAACGTGTGCAGTAAACACAACGAGAATAAATGCTTCTATAAGGATAAGGCACGTGGGGAATCCTTCCTAAAGTGCCCTGCTCCGTACGGAGACATGAAGAAAAACGGACCTTCATCGTCAAAATGACCGTTTGTGTATTTGGAAAGAATGTAACTATAATCATTCTTGCTCAAATGTTGCAATCTGTATATTAAAAATAATGTAAAAATACAATCAGGATCCATCACATTGCTCCCCAATTTTTATTATTCTGCTGGGTGGCGTTTTTGCCTTTACCACTTCTACCTCGCGCAGGTAATTGTTATCAAACCGTAGGTAGCCAAAATGGCTTCACATATATAGAGAGGAGGATTTCGGCGATAATGATCAAGCGGGACACGCAGTTTTAGAATGCGCAAGGGAGATACACAAAGTGGATACCAACACTGTAACGGGAGCCCGTTTAAGCATCAGAGATATGTTCAAACTTTTATGGAAAATTACAGTGACTTATAGGGCCAGGTCGATGTAATTCTTATGGGAATCGGTGGTTGAGCATTGTGTATACAACGCATTTTGTATTGAAGTCATGGGAAAGTATCAAGAAGGAAGATACAAACACATGTGTTTTCGGGTGATCTTGTTTTCAAGGGGTGCATCGTTAAATAAAGGTAATCGCTAACTTCACAGACCTGGGTATCAGATAACATTTAGAAAAGAAGAACGAGGGCGTTCAAGTATAGACAATACTTTCTGATTCGTGACGCGCTGCAGTTCTTGTGCGTTAGCTATACGAAGGGGGGCTCTCTTATTTGATGTTTCGATGTTTGTGTGTGCGAGTGCCGAGTGGTTCATTCTGTCTCCGTGGAGTAGGTACCTAATACAGTTCGATCTTTCGCTGTATCTGTTGCCTACTCGTCTCGTGCGGATTGCAGTTCTTAGCATCTTAGCAATGCGAGTAGGGGCCCTCTCATTAACATTTCCACTATTTAAAATATGTTCTGCTTGAGCGATAATCGATTTTCACATGAATACTTGCTATTGGCCATTGGCATTCTCACATGTACTTTTCGTGTTAAATTAAATTATGTTAACGGAAGGCTGGAGTAGAGCCACGCCATTTACATGTTTCCTACGTACATGCAGTTTATTTATTTTACGAGTTGTGTTATCTCAATTGATCGTACAGGTATTTTGATGTGTTTTTGTATTGAATTGATTTATCAAGTTTTCCACTGCATTTATGATGTCTTGTGTATTTTGTTTTTATGAACTTGTTTAATTGCATTTGATTTGATTATCGGATTTTTATCATACAATGTGAATGTTTTATTTATGTGTATTTTCTCTTGCATTTTATTGCTGTAGGTGGTTTATTTCTTGTATTTGTGTGGCCTATGCCGGGGTTTTTGTCCCGTAGAAGGTTTCCCTGGCATGGTCTTGTTGTGTGCGTAATATATATTTATTTGATCTTGTCATTTCCTACGCACAAAAGTTCGGTATTTTATTTAATTCCCTTCCCGATTATGTCTCACGTCCCAACACATACAAGAACCGATTACACAACGTACGTACGGGCCCTCCAGTACACAAGACGGCTAGTTCAGAGAAACTTGCGTGCGACTAGGATTCCATATCCTTGGAAGGACCTTGTTTTGCGACTTGGGGGTGAGTCATTGATGGGAATAGGGAAAACAGACTTCCTCGAAGGGATCTTCACCCGTTCTGGAACCGCTGTTCTCAAAGCGCCGGAGGACGACAAGGGGCCAAGAGACGGGAGGGAGTTCAAGGAGGACTGCATGCCCTGTACCGTATCGGCAAGTCTGGCTCGCTCACCTGAGATTTGAGGGACAGTGTTTCTTTACATCCCGAGATACGTTTCTTCGGACTCGGAAAGATCAGAGAGGTTCGATTAAGGTGTGTGTGTCGGCCATAAGGTTTGCCTGACGGCGTTTGGAGGATCCCTTCTCTGCTTCCATGAAAAAAGAGGAAGTAGGACAGGGTGGACGAATCACTCCCATTAACACAAGGAGACAATTGCAAACGCGCCTAATGTGTTTTAAAGTAGTACCTAAATTAACGTAATTTAAGCGAAAGTACGCTCGCATGGTAAAAAGGATGTTGTATAACACTAACAAATGAAGTAAACATGAATAAATTACCTGCTGCTATCGTGTCGCGTTGCATAGATAGTTAAAGAGCTGTTGCAGGTTCCAACCCTGTGCAGTCCAGGAGTGCCCGGCGTCCCGGGCAGGATAAAGGAGTGAGGATTTCGTATTAACATGGGCGAATCCACGGTCGTAAGCAATCTCCTCTCGTACTCTCCGACAGAACCTTCATCTTCTTCCTCGATGGTACCCGGTCGGAAGAACAGCTTTTGCGGCGGTGTCTGGGTGACGCTAGTGGAAGTAATCAGCGAATTTTCCAAAGTTATGTTGAGCGTATGTTTCGCCGACGATGACTCGTCCACTGAAGTCGTTGACATTTTCACATCTTCCTCGAGTTTCCCTCAACACTCTGCACACATACTATCACATCACCTGCGTTCTTCATACTGGAAAGCAGCAATTGAAACAGTTTGCATTGAAATTGCACTTCAATTACTTCCGTCCTTTATTATGTTGTTAACTTCAATTACACCAACAAAGATGGATAGATTTATAGTGTATAATATATCGGTTTAAATTAATACGTAATATTATGGATTAATGCAATCCCAAAGAATGTTGGCCCACTTTTGATCGCGCGAACCCTTCGTCTTTCGGAGGTCGAAATATAAAATATTAGCATTGGTTTCAATTACTATTAAATGAGTTGATTGAAGGAAGCTGTTAATTTTGTGTTAAACTTCGCCGAGATACTTTTCGCATTCTTAAAAGGATAGAGTTCGTATAATTAACGATTTTGTTTGAGGTGAAATTAACACCTACGCGTACCTACATTTCTAAACAACTGGATTTATAATACAAGTTTAATGTTAAATTTAACCTTGTAGCGATATTTTTTGTATTTATTCATCGACCGGTATTCGCCTCTTTTGAATGTAATTAAAATGTTGTTAACATACCTAATTTACACGTAGTTCCTTCAAATTAATTCCAAATCGAAGTACTGAGGGTTCAGATTACAAACCGGTTTAACGAGATGAGATACGCAAATTTTTACGGTTGTCAAAAATTTTGAAAATTTGCTGTTGACTAAAGAATTCCAAGCAGTCAATAAAATCGACATCCCAAATTATTGAAAAAACACTTGCCATTAAGCTGAAGTACTCAACAGCGCCATCTCTTTTGTCGCATTTTTGATCACGACGTCTTTCTGGATGGTTTCATTTCTTGCATTCTAGAAGGATTTTCTAAGCTCGGTTAAGAGTAGAGACTCATAAGCCAAGCCTCTTTTTTTAACTTCCGCTTCCACTTCCTTAATGCTTCTTTGAACGATAAGCTGCCCTTGTGTTTTCTTATCTTGAAACTGATAAGCTTCCCCAGCCATAACGAACCTTCTTATCGCAACGATCGGAGATAAAGTTTAAAAAATCCAGAGCAATTATTTCAAGATGTTTAAGTCTAGTCTTTTAACGCGTAATAAACTTGAACAACGGCGATTATTAAAAAAAAATAACAGCTAATAATTCTGAAACAAAACATAATTGACCTCGAATTCCACTAATATGATCGAAACTTGTGTCCAATCTCAAATTACAACCAACTTTGAAAGTTAAAAATAATTAAAATGCAACCCATACAGGGTGACCCATCGTTATTTTAGGTGGTAAGCTAAATAAAACGTTCGCATGGCGTAGTTCACACAATTGTCATTTTGCGTGTGACAAATTACTTTTTAAGGTAAGTTAGTGTTTGGTAGAAAATGCCTCAACTTATGTGCCTTCTATCGTTTCCGAAAATTAAAAATATTGAATCTGTGACATCCTGAATAAAAAAGTACATTCAACTCGTACACTTTAAATTAATTTTTTTTTAAACTGTTAAATCTCAGTTATTTTCGAAGATTTCTCAAGAATTTGAAATGCGTTTTTTAGGCACAAAAGGGGACAACCTTGCCCCCATTTGACTACACTAGTACACGTAGTAAATCTAAATATAGACCTTGTGTGTGTGAAGATGTATGTTTTAGTATTATTGAAAGGAAATTATTTATTTCATTTATTTATAACCCAAGTGTTTTTAGTAAACCGTAAGTAAGCTAAAAGGAAATTAGCGATATGAAGTAACAAGCGCCGTTATAAATGTAAATGTAAATAAAGTAAGATAATAAATACGCTACGTGTGTATATTCGGGATGTAGTAAATGAAGCGGGACATTGTAATTAAAAAAGCGAGTTAGATACGTTGTCTATCGTTACCGAATGTTGAATGACAAAAAGCTTACGATAGCGCAGAGTTAAGTAATTATACAAACCATCGTTGTAAGATAAACGGTTTATTGGGTCAGATTTTACAACCGGAACCGGAAAAAAACTTGGATGACGCGCGCGTCATCGCAAAAATCTCTAGCGCCAAGGGTCGCGAGAGTCTCTTCACAATCCAAAATGCGAAATATGCTCCCCGGATCTAACTAAATTTTTTTCTCTCGCATTTCGACGCGAATGTATTGCGGTTCCACTCATATTTGGAAAGGTGGCCATGCGTCGGTCCGTCTGCAAGTTTTTGTTACCTACTTTATAGACCACACCAAATTCCATAATTTAGAATATTTAGATATCAAATTATCACCACTAAATTCATGAATCTATTACAACTCTATTAGAAGTCTGGTTAAAATCGACGAGAGCAGATTCGAAAATGTTAACAACTAATCGTAATACGCTCGTATAGTAGCCTTCAACTCATAAGTATTTGTCATAGTCTAAATAAAGGAAGTAGTTACATTATTCGGTTATTGCCCAATTATTTTGCAAGTCACATTCACGTTCCGTTTACTCATAACAGCAATTTACTGAAATATATATGCAGCTGTGGTTAAAATGGATTACTCAGTTACTAGTTAAACCTCTGTACGGTGATAGATTTCATATTCAGGTAAGTACGTGTTTAATTATTTATTTTTTTATACAATATCTGTTCCATTAAAAATGAGGGTCCTTTATATGGCACTATGTGAAAAACATTTAGAACTTTCAATTTTTTGAATTAACAAGATTTTTGTTAAAATTAAATTTTTGGATTTTTTGGTTTCCTAGATTTTGAATTTCTCCTGGCAAGAACGGAACGGCACTAAAGGAAACCAAGCCAGCCGAGGCTCATAGCGGACTCTGCGATTAATTAAATGAACTGGAGTAACTGTGCGTGGTATTGAGGGGCGATGTCGCTGCTCTAAAGACAGAGAACCAACAACTCAGGAAAGCACATATTATGCCAATAAAAGTAGTGCACATACAGGAACTGTAGAAGAATTAGAAATGTTCGATTCCAAAAATTGACCTACGATTACCGTTGATGGTAAATAGAGACTCCGTTTTACCGTATGAAGATACGAACCTTTAAAAACAATTAAGTTCATTCATATGAATCGAAGATTTATTTTATTGGTCTTTTAGTTCGTGTTAGTTTGATGTGGGGTTGATCTCCATAGAGTTCGCCTTTGTTGAAAATTGACCTAGGTCAAGGCTCGTATTTGTTGGTATATGAAGTTCTTTCCTTACGGGAAATGTTAAATGTTTATTGAGTTTTCGTCCCAGATTTTATAGATTCAAATAATTGCAGTATGCGGCTTCAGGTCTCCCCAGGTCAAGGATATCAGCAGATAATCGGGAAACTACGACGGAGATCAAAGTTCATGAATGTGCGTGCTCTATTGGAGCACGTTAATGCGTGATGCGTTAATTCCGTAACTGTCTCTTAATTTGTTTGTGCGTAACCCGGCATAACTTCTTCCAATTTATTGTTTTTGCTGCAAAAACCAACCTATTTTTTTTCTACGTTTAACATGTACTATCTCCCATTTCATCATAAATCTGTTTTCCCATTCTTTCAATTTTTTCATTTTGAGAGTTTATTTCGCTATTCATATACAAAAAGGTCAATTTCGCTTCATCGTTTTATCATCTATATTCAATCTTTTTTTTTCCATTTTCATACTGTAACGTGATTTATAAAATTCGGGTTCGATTTATATCAATATTTATTAAACAAAACTAAAACACTATAAAATCCGTACAATTTATATCGATTATTTATATCACACACTTCGCAATTTATATTTCCGCGCTCGATGTTTCATACGTACTCGATCTCGTTCGATAGTAGACTGCCGCGATGTTCGGTCCGCAACCATTTATATACGCAAGCAATGTAAGTCCCGAACATTCTCGAATATTCCTACTATCGCGCGCGTAGAAAATTCCAGAGCGCCAAAGGCGACGTCATGTCTGGAGCATTTCTTTGTTCATTTCATCGAACTTTTTTTGCCTAATTTTCTTCTTCCATTTTCTTAACCAACCGTTCAGTCACTGTCTAGTTCACCCAAATTTCTCTTAAAAATTCTTTAAATTAGGTACCCCATTATATCTTGTTCCTTTTTTATATTCGATATTCTTAGCGCCATCTATGTATATCCTCTATAAATCCGTTTAGTTTAAAGGTAGTTAGTTGAGAATTTACCATAGTTTGTTATTATTAAGGATAGAGATTTGGTTAAATGGGCAATGTTTTGCAGTTTTAGATGCTTATTTAAAATTTCCTTTTGGAAATTCAAAATGTCGCATAGGTTCGACGTAAATTCAAAAAAACTAAAATTGGTCATTTCCTTGAATGTCTTATATCATCGAAAGTATAAGAGATATAAAAACCGTTAATATAACTGGTATCTTATTTTCAATCTTATGTTATAATAGCTCGTTGAAAAGAGAATTTAAAAATCTATCAAGTAATCTAAAAATCCAATATGGCGCCCATTTAACTTTAGGAAGTTGGTAAATGTTCCTCAAAAGTGGCCATCTTGAATTTTTTTGACATCAATTCTAAATTAAGCGTATCAAAGACAGTCACTTTTATATAAAACATTTTTTTATATCTCTTATACTTTCGATGATATAATACATTCAAGGAAATGGTCAATTTCAGTTTTTTTGAATGTACGTCGAACCTATGTGACATTTTGAATTTCCATAAGAAAATTTTAAATAAGCATCCAAAACTGCAAAACATTGCCCATTTAACCAATTCTCTATCTTTAATAATAACAAAGTTACCCATGCAATCCCACCCGATTTGGGACACATTGTATACTAACGTCACTAAATATAGAAAGTACTGCAATCATCCGCCATTTTTGGACAAATTTGCTGCCAACTTAAAAAAATTGACAAATAAAATCTGAATAGCTGTAATTTTTTATAACCTAAGTTCATAGTACTGTCATGTTTTATAAAAATATATACAGATATCTCCAAACAGGTGGAACAATCCCTAACATTAAAGTTACTAGAATCTGGTAACTTCCGCCATTTTTGGGCAAAAATCATGCGTTCTCTCTCTAACACACGAGCCCAATGGATTGCGGTAATTTCTATATTTAGTGACTTTACTATATACTAAAGTCACTAAATATAATATAAATATCTAGTGACTTTACTATATACCTTTTTGCATTTCATTCTAGCGGATTTATATTTACGCAAGTAATTTACGCTGGGAGGTATGTACAGATATGACTCAGCAGTATTCTTAACACCTGATTTCTTTTAGGGCTTAGAAAATTGTTTTCTCTACCTTGGTGTATCGTTAGGTACTATTTTGATGTTACGAAACCCACTCCGAGAACCGATATTAAGGTTTTTATTTACGTTACTTGGGCTATTACGAAGAATTTTAGTTTATTTACATCAAAATAAATAGGTTATTGTTGTTGTATAGAAATTTCTGCATCGTAAAGTAGTTTTCTTGAAGTTAACGTTACGTTTATGCTTTTATATTTCTCCGATTCGTTCGGACAATTCGTTGCCGATCAAAATTTTGCTTTTGCTAGTGTAAATAAGTCATTCAAAGTATTGATTCTTATTTAGTGTTACTTGGGGTTTATAGTATTCGAGTACCTGAGCGTCGAACGTTCGATTTGCTATCGCAATAATTATGTACCGCGCTATTCCCCATCCCTCTTGTTTTTCTATTTGTGTTTTATCTGTTACAGATAAGCCAGAAAGGGCCCTTCTGAGCACGGAAATGTTGCGACCAGAGTTCAAAGTAAATATTTTAACGCCATCGTACTCCTTGACATAACGTTTCAGCACATGGGCTTTCGATACAGCCAATTTATGAATTATACCTCCGTTGTTGCATATATCGGGTACCGGCGAGTAGCGTAGCACCAGGTCACGCGGAGGTGTTGACGGAAGCGGGTTGCATTTGTTCGCTACAGGCGAATATCCACATGATTCGCGTAGCATCAGGTCCTGCGGAGGGGTTGGCGTATTGCAGCTCTACGGAGAGCTTGCATGGTCTTAGTTGATGCCTCACAATGAAACAGCTCGACTTCATTGTAAGGCCTCACTATGGAACAGCTCCGTGTGGTTGTCGTTGTGCCTCACTAGCTCGGCTTCCTGTAGGACAGTTCGCAATACAATGAATTCTACCACATGCGCGTCGACTTATGAAACCCTGCTCAACGGCGGGGATGATCGTTTTGAATAGAGTGGGGGAAAACGCCTTGTTGATTTTGCTGACATCGCGCTATGGTGATTCTACTGCTTATTTTGGTGTGATGCGTATCAGCTACCATATGTTCCACCAGTTTCATACACAAAAGACAAAGTTCCCAAATTTCGTTTTGATCTTTCTATCGACGTAATTTTTTTTGCAATTTCATGGTTCGATTAAAATTCTACCATTTTTCTATTCATTTCCATTGTTAACTTTCATTATTTACTGTTTTACCGTCATGCTTTTCCGTACTTTTTAATTTTTCATTCTATATTGTTTTCTTTTCATTTTCTCTTTTTCAATTGTTTTTTTCTTTCATCCCTAAGTTGCGAAAATGTTTTTTCCTACCTATATTATCCATTTTCTTCATTGTCTCTGATGTTCAAGTTCATTATAAAATTAGCGCCACTTTTGCTTTTGCATTCAGCGAATACACTGGAATTTTTGGTTAATGTTCAAATTCAATTTTCCGTGTAAGTTTTGTGCTGTAACAAAAGGTAATGTACCTATGTACTTACTTTTAATTGTAAATACTCGCTTCATTAAACGACAGAGCAAAACGATGCAAGGGGAGTCAATGGGGTCCGTTTGTCCGTCCGTGAACTCAGACTTGATTCACTTCAAACTTTGCACAGTTCACCTGTATACCACATGTAACAAGCCCATTGAAAATAGGTCAATTCCAATGACCCCGAGGGTAATACTGAGTGCTCTGCCGCTTTGAGATTGACAAATTGTTAATGTTCGCTCGATGTTTAAACTCTAGATCGATTGGCGACTTCAATGTCTTGGTGCGATTGGAACTAACTTTTCCTCCGCTGCTGAGGTAAATGCGGGAGTTAAAATTGCATTTATCTCAAAATACAACGATAGTGTAAGAGTTACCGTATCCAGTACCTTAGATACATTCTGGGCTGGAGGAGGTCCGGCTAATTTACAATGTATAAGAGGGGAAGGATCTGGAGTTGCTTTTAGACCTATTTCAGTTGGTCATCCTTAAACCTATCAAATGTTGTATTAGATTAACGTCAGGTTCAAATTATTCAAATTGAGATCCCAACGTGACATTTTGCAAATGGACAACTCAACACCGAAGTCATTAATTCTCACGGGAATTGAATGAAATTTATTTTGTTAAAACGCAGACACGTTGAAACATAGAAATTCACAATCTATAGGTAAAACAGTATATAATAAAAAAAACTGCAAATACAATGCATTCCGATACTAGACAAAAATTCGTAACTTAGCTCATTAAAAAATAAATATTGACCATTTTCACGTAAGGCACGTACTTAAGTCACTATGCAATGATATAGCGAAGATAAAAAAGTAAAGCACACTTGAAAAATAATAAATTAAAATTCAGTCTGTAAAAGAAGATTATCCTAGACTACTAATCGTACGTAAAATGCGCCCTGTTTCAGGAGCATAGGTGGCCCCTGTACTGTAATGGAAAATTCGATGACGCTTAATAGCTAAATAGTAACTAATCCTATGCTAAGTGGATGATATTCTGATTTGGACACATTGCAGATGGTAACTGACTGAAGTATCACAAATTTTAAGTACTCAAACTCCGACGACGCCCGGCAGCGACGCGCTCCTTTTCTTATCCGTTTCGAGTAGCGACGATCCATCCGGAGCCGTTATCGTGACCGGTATCGGGCTTATGATCGGCCCGGTCTGGTCTTCCATAAAGTACGAGTCGAAGCTACACAAGCTGCTCGAGCATGAGCGTGCTGTTGGAAATTGCGTTGTTAAATGATCTGCAAAAATAGTCACGGTCGTTATGCGACTATCTAAGAGGAAGAAGCGAGGGAAGAGTTAGAACAACAATGTCACAAGGAGACGCGTAAGCGATGATGATACGTGAGTAAAAGAGGGTAGGTTTTATGCCTGGCCGCTTCAAACTACTATTTACCTTGATCGCCTGCAATGTGTCGTTAAATCTGCAATTAAATGGGAATTTGGTCTTTAATGATTTCGATAAAGAATTTCGTATGATGCTATAAACAATATGAAGATGTATGAGGTGTCCGTGGATTCTTTAGGTGGTCTTACCTAGGTCGTGGTTGAACATTGTGCGATGCTGATCGAGCTGTTTGGCACTGCAGAGCGGCGTATCCACTTCGACTGTGTTATTGAATAGGGCGTAATCGACCTCGTATTCTCCGGTTTCTTTTTTAAAAGATACTAACGGCTGAAAACGATGGCCCCATAGTATTTCGGATGGCAGGTAACTGGAGCGGGCCTGGGTTGTCATGCCTGTCGATTCGATGACGCCCTCTAAAATTGATTAAATACCTTATACACAATTTATTGTTATTATTAAGGAGACTGTGGGATACGACACATTTTGGAATTTGATTTTCAGTGATTCACGCGTTTTTTTGCAGGTCAATTTCCATGGAACATCTCGGTTTGAGACTAGTAGAGACCATATCTTACCTAATATTACTACTATTTCGAAGCGTTCCCGAAGCAAATCAGTCGCAGACATATTATACAATGGAGATGTTTCATCGATTTTATGAACGATCGTCGTTGGCCAAATGAAGAATATTTTATCTTCTTCTCCATCACAGCCAATCTAAAAGATGCAATTTTCTTGAGGGGTTGCTAACCCAACGCAGCAGCTCACCTTTAATTCAGACTGATAAAACGGCAAATTTTCGCCTTCTTTGGTAACTTTGTGCTTAATTAACTGCGACCTAACGTGCGCCTCGATGATGTGACTCTTCCGCATATCGCCTACCCTAAACATTAAACACGGCACGCCGTCCCTGTGCGAAATAACGGCGTTACGTGAAAACAATAAAGTCTGCGTACGTTTCTTTGGTCTTGAAAGTTTGGCGAAAACGACACCGACCATAAATGCTTGTATCATAACTCCGGTAATACTCTGAAGGCACATTACGAATATCGCTTCGGGACACTCCTCGGTCGTCGTTCTTCCTCCGAAACCAATCGTGTGCTGCGTTTCCACGCTGAAGAGGAACGACGACGTGAACCCGTTGATATTGGTCACGCAAGGGATCCACGTCTGGTTATTCTACAAGCAAACTACCCATGATTTAAACACGTGAGGGAAGAATGCCAAACACTTACTATGTTTTGGGCGAGAAGATCGCCGTGCGAGTAGCCAATCAGCCACCACACTATCGCAAATCCCAACCAGGACAGTACGAAGTTCATGGAAAACACCAACAACGTCCATCTCCACTGCGCGTCCACAAGCGTCGTGAAGATATCCTGCAGATACCTCCGTCGCCGTTTCGCGACGTTTCCCTGGACAACATTACAATCGCCATGCTTGAAAACGACGCGTTTACGAATTCGTCTCGCATTAAATCTCGATTGACGATATCTGCAACAAATACTACGGTAAGTATATTATTATTGGAAATCACTTTGAAGGTTTATTTTGGAAGGATTTTATGGCTGTCTTATATTAACGTTTCACGCAAAATAATTTATTGTTTGTAATAAAAAGAGTCATAAAACGACCTTTGCTGTTAAAGAGGCGTTTAATGACGCCTATTTATTGTTTTAAAGACTTATTGTTGTACTTATTCACTGATTGATGTTGAAATAAACCTTTTTTGAGCTAAACCGACAGGCATTATGTAAATTTTCATGGAATTTATGTGATGTCAAGAAAGAATCCAGCAGGTGCATAAAAAAATCTGCTGATAAAACCAAATGCACTGGAATTCATCCAAAAATCTGGAGGAAACGGTGGTAAGCTAACGAAAATCATAATCCGCCCTTCGTAAGTAGGTACCTACCCCTTTACGGAAGCGTACCACTTATTTTTTCAATAATTTACAGAATTAACTCTAAATGTACACCTGATGGGAATTCGAATAAGTTAGGTTCTGGGACTACCTAGGCATGTACAAATCTATCTAGGAATTTATAGTCATATCTGGAACTTAAATATGTTTCTGAGATTTCTTCCCGTAGACTTCCCGAAAACTTGAAGTCCTCTGTACACTTGAAGGTAATTGGAAGCTTTTCAGGACCTTCCAGAGATCCCAGAGCTCTGTAGCAGAACTTTTCTGACTCTTTCAATAGCTTTTCAGATGGTTCTGAAAACAAAACTTTCTACGACCTTTTTTGGGCTTTCTAGGTTTTTTAATGGTTTGCTGGGTTCTTCAGGGCTTTCTTCAGAAGTTTCAATGCCCTTGCCAAAAGCTTTGGAGGCTTAAGAGACCGCAGAACCATAAATTGTCTAGAAAACCTCTGAAATTGCATTTTACAGAAATCGAATGTTGTAACATCTGGTTTCACAAACACTGATTAATAGTCCAGGCTATATAATATTTTTTTACAAAACAAATTAGTTACAGGGCGAAACCGGGTTTTTCAGGCAGGTGAAATGAATAGAAATTGGGAAAAAATAATTAAAACAGCTGAATTTTTCCGCGGGTGAAATCCCGGGGGTTGAAAGGGGTGGAAAGTGGTGTTTTGCAATTTGTGGCAAACAAATTTTAGACGAAAATGTTAAATGTAAAAGTTATAGAGATTAAAAAAATGAGCAACTTTTTTCATTTTTTATTCCTATTTTTGCGAAAAAATGTCGTAGGGGTTTGAAATTTGTAGGAAACATAGCTTGTTTTATGATAAAAAAGAAGATAATTTTTGGACCCATAAAGTTGAACCGTTTCCAAGATCTCACGATTTCTGAAAAAAACGCCTTTTTCAAGGGGATGAAAAATCTTTACTTTTTCATCGTACAGAGGACCTAGAGTTTCCTATGTGCTTTTTACAGCTTTTGCATTCTATCCAAATCTTGTAATGGTTAGTTCCATTAAATTGATACCTCTTAGTCCGTATGAAATGAAAACGTGATAGAGAGCCAGAGATTCCCGCGTTGTGGGTTAGGTCAGTACCCTTTGCTAATGTCAGCTTCTTTAAAAACTCCAACAGTGTTGCCAAGTGAAAAACATGCAGCTCGTTCATTCATGCAGTGATTCCAATTTTTTGCCAGATCAAAGATCTAGACTCACATGTTCGTACTAGCGATGTTGCTAATAGTTTATAAATAGACGCGCGATGTTTCAGAAAGCGTACCATAATTTTATTTGCACGATTATATTTACTAATTCCGCGCCTTACGAATAACGGTACGTCGATGCAAGACAGATTTCAACTATTTTTTATTACATCGTTGTTATGGTTACCATTAAGTTTAATTTTTTCCGTCGTCGAAATACGGTATAGATATTCTTTAATACGAGATAAAGCCTATATCGGAATAAATGCAATTCACGGACACTAGTCTTTTCCCATATCTTTATCCAGAAATCTATGTTACCTCCGTGATTAACAGATTGTTCGTTTTTCGTAACGTAGCACACCATTTTGTTCATCAATCAATTTCAACGTCGCGTAATTTATAACTTGAACATAAAAACTCCCTACTCGACCGCGAATTATTTACTTTTTAAGCCAATTTTGTTCTTGCCGCCATCAAAATCGTAAAAAAACCGAAACGGCACCAACGCAAATATTACGGCAGCGTCCCATTCAAACCAATACCAGACCAGCATTTTTATCACTCCGCGTTGTCTCAGCCAAACCGGAACCACCGAAACAGTAAGCATCGCTGTTACCTTGGAAACAATCCTGACTCGCGCCTACTATCCGCACGAAGTACTTATATGCAATTCTACCCACATATCAAATTCGAAAAAAATGTACACTGCAAAGCGGGCCCCCATTACAATCTTGTAAGAGAGTTTCAGTGCCTTTATGCTCAGGAAAGCATCTAAAAAATTCAGGAAATTACTTAGAATGCATTTTAGAGCTTTCGAAACCTTGTAAGATCTTTTTCCAAGCGTCCATTCACTTTTCTCAAACGTCCAATGTTAATTCCCAGAGCTTTATATGCACTTTAAAATATGTATACCTCTATTACAGTATCCTAGCTCCCTACCAGGTTGTTTTGCCTCTAGCTCATGCTGCGGTGTTTTAAAGCCCGCTCGGTAAAAGAGTCGAGCCAGGAGAGCGAGACCCAATGGGTGGACAAAACCGCTAGACAATGATACAATGCATCAAGAGCTGGAGTACGTATCCAATTGGTGGGTCTGGATGTGAGATAATAGATGAATACTGATTGCATTTTCACTTGTACTTTTCGTGTTAAATTAATGGTAGCCAATGCTGGAGTAGAGCCATGCCATTTTGCTGTTTTTTGTAAATGCAATTTGTCATTTTACGATTTGGTAAATGTGCTTGAGTAGTAGTTGATGTCTCTTGCTTTTCATGCGTATTTATATCTCTTGTGTTTCAGAGGACTACAGATGTCGCTCATCGCTCCCACGCCATCCTCCCGGAATCTCGACTTCTACATCTTCTTTGATTAATTTAATAGATACGCTTCCCGCAACCTCAGAGCAAAATGTACAAAGTAAGCAACAACATAGGATTCGTGTTAATTTATCCAAATGTTCAACTCCCCTAGAGCCTTACGAAAGCAATGTTCATTCTATATACGTATACCGGCACACACAATAAACATGGAAATAGACTGGAGTAGTGGTACTCTAATTCAAAATAAAGTGATGTTACAGCAAATGTATCTCTTAAACGACGATCTCGACCAAGAATTAAAATTAGATAAGCAAGAAAAATTGACTCTATACTTACAGTTGGCAACTCTGGGAAAAATAGTACGAGCAAAGCTATCTAACTTACGCGGCATTTTTGAATCTCGGTAGTAGTCGACTCGCACTGTAAAGCACGAATATGTCCTACGTTGTCGGTTCTTTTATGTGTTGGGACATGAGACATAATCGGAAATGGAATTGAATAAAGCACAAAAAATACGCATACCTGTGATGATATGATACCAGGAACACGTTTTATGGACAAAAAACCAGGGATAACCCACAGAAATGCACTACAACAAAATGCAAAAGAGAAGTACACAAATCAAACATCTCAAATTATACAATAAAAATCAGGTATTGAGTCAAATGCAACACCCGGTATCTAGAAGCATTTTAAGTTGGGCGTTTCGTTACGAAAAGTGTCGTGCCGAAAGTATTTGTGTTGGGTCTAGAGGTGGTTCATCTTCCGTTACCGTAAATAACGCTGCAATTAATTTGCCGTTTTGTAACGTTCCGTTGAATGTACTCTGGTTTGTATAACTGACTGAATGCGCTCTTAGTGTATTGGGATGGTACCATGGGCACTGAGTTGACTTTCACTTTTGCTTTTGTCGTGGTAAAGACAGGTCTAACTTCGCGAAGAATGTCGATTTGAATTAGAAAATTCCAGTGTCATCATTAATTATCAAAGCGTCTTTACGCGAATGGGAAAGGGCTGTAATCTTCTTTAGGTAATGGTGTTTTCCTATAATTCCTCTTTGTTAACACGTTTTGTTTTAGGTTATGCCATATGTGTTAATTTAATTACGTATCTTTGTTTGATCGATCTCCTAATCTGAAACCTATTTATTAATAGAGTAGAGTCAAATTAATTGAAATTAGGTCGGCCCGTGTGCCGCAGTTGAGTTGAAGTTCAACTGCGGTACTAAGGGTCCCTGGTTCGAATCCGCGTTCGGGCATGGATATTTGTAAAGTGGGTTGGGTTAGTACAGCAGCCCTGGTTGAAACCCCGCCCACTCAAAAGGAAAGGCCTAAAGTTTGATTTTTAGCATTGTAGCTTTTGGATATATTTTTCGTTACGAGCATTGGGATGATCCTATTAAATAAGTACCGTGATCTAAAATGCAAACCCTCACCTTCGAATTGTAGATTGCTACTTGTCGATTAGCTGGAACTGATCTATTACATCGTATCTAAGATCGAAGTTTGCAAATGTTTATCGCAAATACGTGGCTAGTCGTGGCCAATTTCCTTTTCCTCCTCGAGATTCGCTGCAGTTTGTAACCGTTCCCGTCAAGATATTTCAATTCTCTTTGTTGCGTCCGAAAGCTCTTGCCATTTAGTAAAAGCATTTTAATTTTAGTCCCGTTAAGCTGGTATTAGCAGCTTTTCGTTTCCTATGGTAATTAAAACGAGCATTGGACCGGCAAGGCCATGCAGGTTTACGCCATTATCCGCTTGAAAGCGCCGGTTGGTCCCAACATTCCAATTAACAATAGTTGTTAATTGGAATACCGATTTTAGAAATTTCAAGCCGGCCAATTAAGTAAGTGAAATTAACAGTACATGGCCGTGTAGGGTATCAAAAGAAGCGCTCTTAATTAATTTGAATTTTAAGGCCAATTACAGATTTTTACATCAGCAGGTCCCACAATTAATTAAAGAAGTTTTAATTTTTGAATGTAGATAACCGAATACGCTGTGTAGGTTGGGAAAACCGTCGTTCCCTACATGGCTTAGCCGAATTTCATAAAAGACAAAACCATTGTTTAGAGGGAATCTTTTGCCATTTTGCTTGCCGCAAGTACGTTAATTTATCGAGCTAATTTTTGGCACCCGTACCCTATTTAAATCATCGATATTTTGACCTTGGGCGTTTTACCGAAACGTAAGAAATCTTTTGCTTTTTGCCTTTGGTGTTTAACTGTATTTAAATGAACTTTTACAAGTATTTTTTGAGATTTTCCGTAGATTTACTTTAGCAACCGTATCGTATTTAAATTGTGCTTTTACATTAAGTGTACCGCGTAAATTTGTATATTTTCTTGTAAATTAAATTATAATAATTATTCCGCTAATGCCTCTTAATTTTCCAGGCCATTTGTGCGCGCACTACTACCGAAATTCGTCGCAAACTAATACGTATAATTAATAAGAAGTAGTCGCTTCAAATAAATCTTAAATTCATTCTGTTTACTTAAAAGCTATTACATACGCTTTAAATGTGTATATTAGTCAATTTCAAAGGCACATCCACGATTTTAATGCGATATTTCCGTTAAAATGCGCTTTAAAAAGATCGCCATTCCGTCAGACGTATGAGATGAATTTACTCCCATGCAAAACATACAGTCATGCCAAGCTATAAGAAGTATTCACTTCAAAAGAATTCCAATGCTACAACATCGATATAGTAGGCGTAAAGTGGGGAATCCCATTTTAAAAATTTAAATAATTCGAAAACCAAAAACCAAAAAACAAAATTTGTACGGCAAAAAAATACTGTACAGTTAGTTAGAAGCTTGGTATTTTGATACCGGCAGGTAGTCTATTTTCACTGGCCCAAGTTTCTCACCCACCAGCCCTGTGAGAGTGGGTCATTAACTGCTATCGTATTGAACAATTCTGGCAGGGCGAGTTCGTAACCTTTTGGTGGTATACAGAGAGTCACAACCAGTACCTCGAGTATCTACAATATTCTTCATGCAAAAAACGTTATAGTCGGGCGAAGTGTGCATTTCCTAGCATTGGCACAAAAAAGCATGCTTGCCTGATGCTGTGAACAACGTCGGATAGTTTTTCATGTAGACTCAACAATCATTTTGGCAATTTCTAATTAGTAATTCCTCAATTTTAAGAGTTTATCAAATATGGGATAGAGAGTGGCGCAACGTGCCCAAAAAGTAAATTTTTGGTGACATTGACTCCCTGGCCAGTAGAGGTTGAATGTTTGTTAAAAAGGTAAAAAAACTCAAAATATTATAGCCCCTCCTCTTGCATAAATGATATTTTAGCAACCGAAAAAATTGGGAGAAGTAGTGCCAATTTTTCCACACACGCAGTAATGCAATGCGAAAAATAATACAGCAAAAAAAGCGAAGCGCATCAGCTCAAAAACTCAACAACGTACCTACTCAATTTACAAACTGATACAAAAACCTTTCCCTTCTTCATGTTTGGCAAAATTTGCACATTGATAAAACCGAACTATGTACTGTATATCTGAAAGTAGGTACTCCCAGATTTTGAGCGTTATTAATAAACTCGACTCAGACACACGCATCCCCAGGACAGACTTAAACTAGACAGCTTTAATTCCTTTTGTTATGACAATAGAACAAACGCGGCGTACAGAAGTGAAGTTTATAAATACGCACCCAAGTGGTTTTACACTCTATTTACACTCCTGTTTTTTTCACGTAATAATAGACATCTGCCGGACCATTAACTTGTCAAAATTCGTACGTGTTTAAAAACAAAACGAGAGCAAATTACAGTTTGAACGGCTTGCCAAAATGTTGCGTAAGACCAATTTTTTTTCAATTTCGCTTTTAAGGTTCACGAACAATCGCACCATTAATAATGTGGATGTTGTTCTCTCGTAATCCGTCGAGCAGGTCGCTATTCAAAACGAAAACTTGAATACAAATTCGGTAGGAACGCACAGCTGCACGCCAACAAAAGACGAATGCCTTTGCATTCATCCACTCTATAACTGTGCCAAAACTTTACAAAGAATTTGCTGCTAATAACAGTTTTGTACGGCACGTCCCAAGGATAAAGTTGTATGGATCTCTTGAGCTTCACAATTGAAAAACCCTCGTTTCATTCTGTGACAACGTGTTTCTATTGTACCAAGTTAAGTAAAAATTTCAATTAAGATTTTGAAGTATTAGATCCCTGCGATAAAATAGATGCAGCAGTGAAAAAGAGTTTCTTCAGACAAGCTAGGTGAAAGCGATCCGTGGTGGTGTTGGAAACCAGTACTCTCATCCCATCTGTAGATACAATTTAATCTCTAAGCGTTCCATTCTGTCAAGTCAATTGATCTTTTGATATTTCAGCGTCGTTAATTAATTATTAAGCACTTTAGATTCCCATAATAAGCGAAAACCAGGATGGAAACGAATTCCAAATTGAGTTGTTTACGCGTTATCAGTCTTTCAGACATGCCGTGCAGATAACGACAACAGTTGTTGCGCCAGAAAATTCCAATTTAGACTAGGTGTTAATTGGATTAATGAGTATTGAAGTTTGAATGCACTTAATTGGGTAAGCTTTGTTAATGAATGACGTTTTAATGAGTTGTAGAAAAAATCGACAGATTGCGTCCAGAGTTATAAAAACTGAGCGCGCTTAAAAAACGGGAAGTTCGATGTCCATCTCATATTTTTCCGATAATTACAGGCTAACTAATTAATTAAAAACCGAATTAATTTGCAGCGCTTTAGTGCTGAATACAGCGAGGAGCTGGAAATTTCCCTTTCCAAAATTCGGATTTCTTAATCAGATAAACGCTGGATTTTCTGGGTATTTTTGCCATTTTGTACTTGCCGTAGGTAAGTATATTATCTTTTGCAGTTTGTAAGTTAGATCCTTTCTGCTTCTGAATTTTTCACCTTCAAGTTTTGTTAAGTAACGAAATTTTGAGTTTGCTTTTCCACCGCATTCGCCAAATTGTGCTTTCTTGCTTGCTTTCGCTCCGTTTTAGATTTGCCGAAGTGACCGCCGTCATCTGCTGGACTCACAGAATTCTTGGAGTAACCGTTTCTCCGAATAAGTTTATCCCAGAGGCTACCGAGACCGACCTACCAGTCCGTGGCTACTAGCCTGGCAAGGTGTTATCCCCGCTTCTCCTCAGCCAGGTCTGCATTTCTGTGTTTGGGTATTATTGGAGAAGTGGTGGACAAGTTTTCAGCGTGC